TGCGAGAGTTTGAAGAGGTAGGGATTGTAGTTTGACGGGGAACGACCCCGGTTGACAATAATGAGGAAGTCACACGTCGAGATGACCAGCGCGTCCCTGTGTCGCCGAAGTTCCAAACTTTTCCGGCCTTCGGCGCAGACTTCTTTGAGGGTTGCATTCGGGGTGAGGTGGTGGTTGTAGAAGAAGTTGAGGATTTTGATTTAAGGTGGAGAAGGCATGAGGGGTTATGACACGAGAGGGGGAAGAAGGTGACGGGGAAGCGCACCTATGGTATGTCTGGGAAGAAGCAGCCAAATAAGGCTGTGCTGTTGTTTATGCACGTCTCTCGTATGTAATATTATATATAACCATTACCAAGTGATCCCCACTTGTGGCCGAGTGAGTGAGGAGACCAGTGCCAGACAAGTAGAGATCTAAAGAGTGACCCTCGAAAGTAAAGAACGAACAGTGGGAAGGTAAAGTAGAAGTACGGAGAGAAGGAGATGGTAAAGAGAGATACGGTATGTCGAGTGCGCGTGGATGAGGCTCGGTAAGGAGACGCGATGAAGGGGGGAAGGAGACGCGTGCGATAACTGACTGTAATCTTACATAACTCTACTGGCTTACGGTCATGGCATGTTAGGAACATGTCATGGGTCCTGGATTTGACATGCGTTGCTGGTACATACATCTTACGACGTAGCGAAGGGCATCAAAAAAGCATGCGGACTGGAATCGCGAGTGTTGGGATTCGATGTTACGCAGGGGTAACTACTGTGCCGCTGAGACACAAAAGTGGTTGCAAAGAACCCCACTGCCCCTCCTCTCACACCTCTCAACTCAACCACTGCAGTACCCCACTCAAAAGACGATAAAAACTGAACAATGAGGTCGCATCTGGAGGTAAATCAGAGGAAGAAGCATCTCTTGTCCCGATAGCGCCCAAATCCCTAAGCCTATTATACACTGACCGCTAGTTTTACCCAGCACCTCTCCAACATCTCGCCCATCACCTCCCTCGCCTTTCTCGACACCAAGTCTTCTCCACCGCTCCTCCTTGCCGGCGAAGGCCCTTTCATTAAGGTAGTTTCTACAGGCTCATCAGACATTTTAAAACCCTTGGGGCCAGTCCGTATCTTCGCACGCGAACGAGTTCATGGCATCACTCTCACCCGCGATGAATCACACGTCCTTTTCTGGGGTGGTCGTAGCATCTCCACCACCTCCGCCTCCTCTCTGCTCTCACCAGGTCTGAAGCTAGATGAGATCAAAGCCCAAGATTGGATATTTCATGCAGTCTTTCTTCCCACAACCAATGGAAGTATCAAGATTGTTGCGATTACAGCTCACAACTCGCTCCTCCTCTACACCCCCGAATCAGGGTGGGCCGAACTTACATCCGGAGAGCGGTGCATGCTATACTCAGCTCACCTCTTACACCTTCCTGCTAACTCGGGGAGCGGAGAGCCGGAAAGAATACTAATTGCAGCTGGGACTGTATTTGGGGAGATCCTCTTGTGGTCAACTGTGCTAAACCCCGCCAACCAGAAGTGCCCCGCCGAACTGCATTATCGACTGCTCGGCCATGAAGGTTCCATCTTTGGTGTCAATATCTCGCCTCTGTATTCCGGGAGACGTTATCTTGCATCTTGCAGCGATGATCGTACAGTTCGTGTCTGGAATGTTTCCAATTTGTCTGTTTCAGGCACCCCCGAAGAGGTGAGGGATGGCACGCTTAAAAATACCGGATTTGGCCATATATCTTCCACAAAAAGCGGCGAATGCGTCTCTCTAGGCTGGGGTCATACCGCACGTATTTGGGGTGTTCGCTTTCTTCCAGACCTCACAGAAAATGGGCAAATTAGGATTGTCTCTATCTCCGAAGATCTAACATCTAAATTTTGGGCCTTTAGCCCCTCAAGCACTAGATTTCCTACCGGGAGTAATCCCGCAGTAGAGCTAATAAATACAGCGACATACCTTCTACATAGCGGAAAACATATTTGGTCCTATGCTCTTCACTTTGAACGCGGTCTCCTTGCGACTGGGGGAGCAGATGGGAGGGTAGGGTTAGTTGAATACAATCCAATCAAAGGAAAGGAAGAGGAGGAATGGGATATGGAGACTGTTCTTTCGAATATTGGCACGAATCAATTGAAAGGAAGTAAGGATACATTCAAGTCTTACGCCGTATTGGACTCGAACCGCTTTCTTGTCACCACCTCACAAGGGAGGCTGTTGACCTATAATCTAGCTACAAAGGTGTGGAAGCTTATCACACAATGCGAGAGCTTAAGTAGTTGGAGCCTTGTAGCATCCTGGGAGGATGAAGGAATGGTAGCGCTTGGAAACGGCAGGGGAGAGGTGGGAGTGTGCTATGTTGATAGAAATGGAGAGGTGGAGTGGTGGCAGGCCGGCGGGGAACAGGAACGTGGGAAGGTCGGTGGTGTTTGGACTAGCATAGGACCCGGGGGAGGTGTGTACAAGCTCTTGAATGTATTCTTAGACAAACAGCCTGTATCTAATAGATGCAAATTTCCCTCATCGCAGAAGACTCTGGGAAAATTTATAACATCCTCACTACCACCCTCTCCACCACTATCTTCACCCTTCACACATTCGCTCGCGCTCTCAATACTACCACTCACTCACCCCCTCTCCAGCTCATTGCTCCCGTTGAGGAAAACACCAAGAGATTTCTTCCAACCTCTCTCTATATATCCCATACAGATACGACCCCTCTTATATTTCTTGGTTCCCGAAACGGCGCACTTGCTGTCTACTCTCGTACCACTGGTGCCCTTCTAGGAGTATATCACAATCTCCACTCTACTGACGCAATCACCTCCATCACACCCTATCCTTCCCCCGCCTCAAGCCTCTCAAGCTCCTCCATAAGTATACAGACCGTCGGCCGCAACGGTGGGCTCTCAATTCATACCTTCACCCTTTCCCCAGAACCCTCACTATCAACAATCCACTCTACGGCACCAACAAACTGTAACGTTATTGAAGGCGCTTCATCTTCCTCTCACAAACATATTTGGGGCTTCCGTGGCAAGCACTTCTTTGTGCATGACGAAGGAAAGGGTGTTGATGTTGCTGTTGTAGAATGTGGGGGTGCACACCGCGCTTGGTGCCTGTATTGGAAGGAATGCACAGGCTGGTTGGTTTGGACTAAGGCTTCAAAAGTAAGCTATTCACCCTATAATCATGAGATCTCACTCGGCTCCCGTGACCAATCATTGACCCTCAAATAGGTACATATTGCCCCACTCCCGCTGTACCCCCAGCGCCCTCTTACACCGGGACTGCATGGGCGGGAAATCAAGTCTATTGCGTTTGCGTCTTCTACGGGCCTCCTGGCTACTGGTGCAGAGGATACGCTTATCCGCATTAGTTCCGTCAACACCATTACTGGGAGCGTAGAAGGCACTGCAGTTGTAAAATGGCACACAACGGGTGTCCAGCAGCTTGTGTGGAGTGGGTGTGGAGGATGGCTCTTCTCTAGTGGTGGAGTTGAAGAGCTCGCGGTCTGGAGAGTCAGGGATGGTGGCGTAGTAAGGGAGGCGAAAGGACCTTGCGTAGACGGAGATCTCAGGATCCTGGGCTTAGGGGTTGTAGATGTCTATGGAAAGGATGATCAAAAGGTCGGGTTTGTGGTGGGTGCGGGATTGAGTGATAGTAGTATCAAGATATACTACTACTCACTCGCCTCGCACTCGTTCACTCTATTGTCGCAGGGTCGGTACAAGACTAATTGTATCCTCCAAACCACCTTCACTATACACCATAGCACTGGCAAGTTCCATCTTTTTATTGCCGCCACAGATGGGTACGTCACTGTCTACGACCTTTCGTCACTCTTGCAGTCTTTCGGATTCAGCATTTCCCGCGGAGGGCTATTGCTACAGGAGAGTATAGGGCAGGTAGAGATTGTGAAACTTCCAGAGATACTGTTGACGAAACGGGTTCACCAGAGTGGCGTCAAAGCCTTTGAAGCACTTGTCGATGAGGCTGGGGACGTAGTAGTTTATACCGGAGGCGATGATTGTGCGTTAGGGGTCACGAGGGTTAAGTTTAGCGGAGAAGAAGGCTTGCGGGCTGAGACCTTCATGGTGCCAAGGGCACATGCCTCTGCTGTCACGGCTATAGTGGTTATGGGGTCGAGGGTAGTGAGTTCTGCGGTTAGCCAGGAGGTTAAGGTGTGGGATATGGATATGACTGGAGATGCCGTAAAAGTGAGATTGTTGGAAGAGGGGTATTCATGTGTTGCTGATGTGGCAGGGGCTGTAGGTGTAGAGGGTAGAGAAGGAGAAGACGGATGGGTAATTGTGGGGGGCGTTGGAGTTGATTTCTGGAAGGTCAGGTGGACTATTGATGTTTAGTAAAACCAGAGCGCCGTTGGTGGAAAGTGCAAATGGGCATCAAGTGAGGAGGTAGAACGGTGTAAGGTTAAGGCCTCCTCTAGAAACAAAAGTTTGTCTGCGGTTAATTACGATCCAATAGGTCTTTGTCGGATAGGTGTGCGACTCGTTGTTTAGTGGCTTGGCTTCCCTAGTTCTGGGCTCATCTTTATCCCTCCGATCGAGCTGTCATGGACGTGTGAGCTAGATTGATCCTCCCTCTGAAGAATATTTCTAGACACCAAAAACCATTCAAGCATAAGGAGTTTTGAGCAGTGGATCTATATTGGTTTGGAAATAGAGAATTTAATTTTGCGTTCCCAGGAGAGGTAATTTGTGGGCGACATCCATATCAATATATGCATGTGTAGCTATAGATACATACATGTAATTTAATAGAAACTAAAATTACAAGTTTTGGTGGACTCAGGGGCCTGTACATGTATCTTGATTCATGTAATTCCTTGCCATGATCATCTTACTACTGATCTTTTTCCTAGAAATAGATCTCTGTTGCTCCTGATTCTCATACAGGTTTCAAACATAAGGAATGTTCGACTAGAAACCATTTCGCCAAAGATTCTTAGCATTATTGTCCTTCCCCTAGTTCCCACTTTATTCATCCCCTCCACCCTCTCCATCACTCTCTCCATAATCATCTCCATAATCGCCTCCATAATCGCCTCCATAATCGTCTCCATCATCCTCATTCTCTTCATCCTGTTTATTCTTTCTGCCATTCGATTTCTCTCCGGATCTGTCCTCTCTAGATCCAGAGTCTCCAACTCTGCCAAACTCCCATTTCACATCGTTGTCACTCTCCTCCACGCCACTACATTGACTCTCCTGGGAAATAGCCCTTCTGTGTCCTATGGCGCTACGATTCAACTTCCATGTTCTCCTCTTGAAAGCTAACGTTGTCCTTCCGCTCTGGAATTACTCCCTATAGTCAGCCGCGATGATCTCCCAACCGAGAGACCGCTCAAGAATCCACCCTGCCTGCCACTCTTCCCTGCCCCATCGATCGGGTCGCGCCTGGAGGACCTTTTCCGTAACGCCCAATAGCCATTTGTCTTCCTCCCCCGTCCACGCCCGATAAGACCGGTTGGTAACTTGAGCAGACTCAGTAATGGGTTGAGCAGGCGCAGTAACGGGTTGAGCAATTTTATTAATAGTGAAAGGGTCTTTATAGCTCGCTCCCAACTCTTTCCACCTATTACTTACTTGCCAACGGAAAGCAAGGACATCCTCGTTTGGGGGGTTCGTATAATTAGGGAAGCTGAGATTAAAGGCGTCAACGACTTGCTGCCATGATTTGCAAGACTTCTCGGTTATGGCATTACAGAGCCAGGAGTCGTGGATCTTCCCCCACTTAGACATGAACTGGTTATATCCCACAATATTTGAATATGAGGATTTGGTATCGTGGCCTATATATAGAAAGTATCTGATGTCGTTGAATATGTAGTGTAAAAAGATGAAAGAACTTCTGATTTAATGGTAGTGTGAAAAAGAAGTAAGATGTTCTGATTTAATGGTATACGTACATGTAGTGGAAAAAATTTTGATCTATAGAGGGCCAGTACCTGATGTGTCGACTAGGCGGAATTCGGGGGCCATGGCACTGGAGTTTGGCGAAACTCGTTGAAAATGTGTTAGGCACTTCCTCTCTTGCTAAGAGGCATCTCCATTTCTGCTTTCCAGTCGACAAGTTTTAGGGGTTTCCGGAAGAATGCAACACGTAGATTGGAGCTGTGTTAGGGCTTAACCTGAGATAACGAGTGATATTTAATGTTCGGGTAGGTTTACGCAACGCGCGGCATAGATGATGAACCTTTAATCATTGATAGTGATTCATAGATTCTCACTCGATCCCTCTTCAGTCCATTACAAGCACTAGAGGTAAAGGATCGAGCAGAATTGGTTTATATCAACATCACAGGGAATAATTCAATAAATCAATTGTTTTTTGGAAGGATATAAGTGGCGCATACGTAGTATGTTCCTCCCGCCAATGTTTACCTGTGCGATGGCTATAGGGCACCTGGCTTATGGTTTTTATGGCCTGTATCAGCTACTAAATGTACATGTAACTTTCCGTCCGATTAATTCTATTCGATGCAGCGCGTCTCGGATCGATGCATCTACTCTACGTAAGGCTGAACTATGTTGAGAAAATGCATGTAGCATGTCTGTTCTCATGATTTGAACAGGTGTGATTTTCATAGAATTGGTACATTTATGTATACCCCTGGGGAATAGAATTCTACCACATGTTCTCGAATTGCTCGAGTAGGTAACATCACGCCCTACTTTCTTACTTACCTTCGACATACATATTACGAACAGCACCACATCCGTCTCAAGAACCTATACTTTCTGTACAGGAGTCAGAGCTTTTCGGGACATAAAAGGAGGTCGGGTGCCCACTACCTACGCTATCCTTACCTAACTATTTCTCAATTGAGTATCACTACCACCAAGTCTTTATCTTGACCTGAACATTTATCAACCCACCAATCTCTCCTCATCCTCATCCACTACTTCAATTCAGATATGACTAAGGGAGACTCTTCCTGCGGAAATAAGTGTGCATGTAGGAGGGATAAAGAAGCAGAGGCTACCAGAGGATATCCAGGCAAAGATATAAAGCCCAGCTTGGTATCCAACTCTCAGATCAATCGATCTCAAACCGCTGCTACTCGTGTACCAATAGTAAGTTGGAAAACTAACGTATTTATCTAAACACCAAACCACCTCTAACACTTGCTGTTAGGAGCTAAAACGGCCGAAAATGTCAGTTTCTAAGCCAACACAGCATTCACTGGGATGTTTTGGAAAGCTTCCGCTCGAACGTAAGAATTTCCGCCGCTATGTTAGAAAAGGTTTCAACATCGGACTGACTTAGTGATATTGTATCGGATAGTATTGACGATAATTGCAAAAAACCTCGAAACTGTGGATCAAGTCAGATTCATTTTTAGCACCCACAAGAGTCTTCGCCAGCTAGGAACAGTGCCAACAATCTGGGAGAACCTATTGATTCATGAGAAACCTAGGCGAAATATTTGCAGAGGCTTCTCTGATAAAATAGTTCCGAATCTCCCAGGAGGGTGCGTTAGAAATCTATCTATCCACTGTATTGGTGGCAAGGTGAGTTCATTTTACCATGCGTATTTAGTTGCTATTCGCTTTATAATCAGCTATAGGTTATTATTTATTCTAACGTTTTAGAATCATACATACCAACCTCTTAATCTCCTTCGAGAGCTTAGGCTCCATGACCAAACTTTGTTCTCCCTCACCCTTAGCGGTAGCCAGAAAAGTGTTCATGAGAGTCTACTTGCCATAACGTTAGACGACATCACCGACCTCGGAAAGCTCTTGAGCGGGCTTAAAACCCTCATAGCCCATCCAAATGCTAATCAAGCAAGTAAAAACATTCGCCCGGACCAGCTGATTACTCTTTTTCAGCTCCTACCCAATCTCGAAACTCTTATTTTAGAAAACCTCAAGAATATATCAAAGCCACTCTGCGGTATGGACCTCTACGGTGACATGGTAGTGACCAACCTCAAGACACTTGTTATGGAAAGCATCTCAATAACTCTTCCTATAATGAACAAGCTCGGAAACTTCTTTCCAGTCCTAGAAAAACTTCATATGGGGACAATCAGAGACGTCAGGGATTGCACTAGAGACGTGTATTGTCCCCTTCCGAAGCTCAAGGATTTCAGCGCCACCTATTCTGGCGTCCGAGGTGATGAAATCTCGAAGTTTTTCTTCGACCTCGTTGAAGGATCGCCAGATATCCAGGAAATAAGCTTCTGCTGCCTGCGCTCTAGCTACTGGAATCTCCTCTGTACGGCTAAACTGTATGGACGGCCGATGAAGAGTCCAAACTTGAAGCAGATCCGCCTTGGGGGTTGGGGTATCCTGGAGGAGGATATGGACGGGGACTGGTTTTATGAAGATATCTGGCAGAGGCCATATATCCAACCAAAATGGCGGGGTTGTTGTTGAGGCGAATGGGTAGAATTCCAAAGAGGGTGGCTTAATTGCGCGTGCATACGTTTCCGCCTACTTCCTTTTCAATCTTTTGTTAGGGTTAAAAGATTTAGAACCATAATAACGCACTGCACGCTTAGCTTTGTCAGTATCCTGGCATATACTATTTCTTTGAATTTCTCGCTGTCGTTAGTTATAGCTTTGTACCTATTGTGTTCTGATTTATACATAGTACAACCTTTACTGTTATGTTCGTCAATGATAATAGATAGGCCAGATTGTTGATAAAAGGCTATCATTTGGGCTCTCAACCCGTATATATATCGCGTAAATTAACTAGGAATTGCTATAGAAATTGCGATAAAAGAAACGCTCGGAAATTTGAAAGGGATGATATACTAGATTTCTTATTAGATTTTTGAAATTAGCGGCGGGCCGTAGGAAGCTGTTTAGTTTCTTATCTCTTGATACCAAAGCTTTTATATTTGACCAGTTCGCACCATTGACATCCATTCTGACGAGGTCTAAGGGATACATGTAGTTGGTACAATATCAGCGTTGGTGACATATGATCAGCGGTCCCACGACCACTGGCCTAGTATTAATTGCAGCCTGCGATAAGGGCTTTATTAAGACTCTTGAGATCTTGCGTGGTGTTTTATATTAAATCCTATGTTTTAGATATGCCCAAGCTGTAGAGGACTGTAAGCTTAGGTGATAGGCCTTGAATACATGATATATAGACGAGTTACTCACGTCCGGTCGTCCCCAAAAATATCTAAACCGCTCAGATCGAACCAAATTAACCTTCTTTGGAAGGTTCAGACTATGCAAAATTACGCAGATGGTATGTTAAGTATGAATTGCACGTCTTCTCTCTTTCCAGTCAACCTTACTATACAGGCGTTTTCGTCTTGCGAAGCTCTTGCCCAATTACATGTATATATACTGAACGTCTTTTGTTTTTCAATGAACACCATTGGTCTGTTGGTGCTGTTCGGTTGTATCAGTCGGCTCAAGTACTTCGATAAGATGAAAGACTGGGCCATTGATCGATAAGATACTGCGGAATTAAGGCACTGCAGTAACCAACTCAAGTCAGCTCTTGATACGGGTAATGGTTTAAATTAGCGCAACCTTTCCCCCCGCTATTTCCCACATCAGGGAAGCCGCCCCCAGTAAATCCTAAAGGATCAGACCTAAGTGTTTCGAAGCCATGGCTTTAATATCGTCTATATTATAGAATTAGAGTAGTCATGCCTCTTATCCGGGAAATATGTTTGTTAGTCGATGGGTGTTGTTTTCAACCGGTTGAAGTACTGGGTTTTAGGTGCTTTAGTAGTAAGGTTGTGAATCGTAGTGTCATTCGAATTTTGGGTATTTGCCAAATGTCAGTTTGACAATTGACAATTTGACATTGACAATTTGATATTGACCTGTTGCAGCCAAACTCAGTATTGGAATATTCGTATTTCATGCGAGGATGGCTCTGCAACCACAGCGGCTATGCAGATGATTTTATTTATGGAATTCTCCAACTCTCATGTCTTTGAGTGGGGTATTAGTTTTATGGAGACATTTTGAAGTGGATTATTGCGTGTATGTATGTAATTTTGTACTTGCCTGAATTGAATAATATCCTCCACCATCTCCTCATATTGACGTCATCTAATTATAAGCCAATCCGATCGACAGCTAACTACAGCTACTCCACATATAGTTAATATCGAGCGATTGTGTAATATATTTAACAAGTCCGTCATGTACGTGTTATCAGCTCTTTTTTGTAGAAGTGAGGAATATCGTGAGAAATCCTCAGCTGATAGTCTGGCCTACGTTTCACAACCAGTAGAGCTTGAGTATTACCTACCCCTGCCCCCGCCAGTAAAAATTACTTGGCGTAACCTACCCCTGAGCTTACCCCGACGATAACCCCACCACCAGCACATCCTCACCACAAGCATCACCAGCACATCATGGACCCCTTCACCTTGCTTGGTGACTTCGAAATCGCCCACCTCGTCGAGTATCTACCTCCTATCGATCTTATACGCCTCCAGCTCGTCTCCAAGCACTGGCGAGCAGTCCTCAACTCCCCATACATCTCCCGTATCGCCTTACTCCACCACTTTCCACATGTTCCCCAATCACGAGATCTTCGCGACTCGCATGCCCGAGCCGATTCTCCTTCACTAGATGTTACGTTGCTGTGGCGACGAGTGGTGTACCAGTACCATACGCGGAGGACAGGCCAACCGACACGCATGCACCAGGTATTGTTAAACTTTGCAGATGCGATGATGGAGTGGGACGTAGGCGAGGGAAAGGTGGCGTGGATATCAAATCGGATGGATAAGGTAATGAGAGTGAAGAATTTGGAAGGAGACGGTGAGGTTCAGGAGATCAACATCAGTCCCTGGTGGCTTGAGGAGGACGAGGAGGGTGTGGCGGGACATCTGAGAGTACAAACTTTGAAGATCGTTAAAGGGCTTGTGATACTATCGATGGAGTATTCTCTTGGCTGGGGAGGATATGATCATCCTAATTTCTCGGGGAGTCGCGCTAAGTGAGTGTGCCCCCCAAATCCTCGCTATGTCAAGGGAGATTGGTGGAGGATGTTAACAGTACGGAGGAGGAAAGGTTCATTGTGATCGACCTGTGTACAGGTGAGCTAGCGTGGAAGTATTGTATGCACCCTCAACAGACGATCTTAGGTGAGCTCGAATGGAGCGAGGGCAAGCTCTTCTACCTCCGACGAACACCGATCCTTAGCTTCGATGGCCTTGACACCTCTGCCCGGTCGCTTGTGCATTTTGTGATCCATGATATGTTCACTGGCGCTATAACTGCCGAAATACCATTGGAAAACGGAAATGATGTGGTGGCGTACAGATTTTTGAGCTACGATGTCATGGTTGTTGACCGCCCGCTGAAGCATTTTATCCTTGTGCGGGATCACTGCGAGACAGATACGCGCCTGGATTTACTGGCCACCATATATACGCTGTCCGGGAAGATTGTTGGAAAATTTCTCATCTACCCTGAAGATATCACCTTTGGTGAACGGAATGTGGCTAGGAATATATTTGTGGACTTTACACATCGACATGATGTTTTTAACATCACTGAAACGTTCTTCTGCGATTTCTCAGACCCTGTGATTCCTGCGGCTCTCCGCGAGGCAGGTATGCAGCTATCATCTCGACAAAAGCCGCCGAAGGCAGTGCTGTTCAATTCCTGGAGCATAGCTCCAGAGCGGGGTGGGACTGGGTTTTCAGTGGAGCAGAGGAGATATGAGAGCCCTATTGTTGAGGTAGATCGTGTGCCGTCACCCATGCACCATATTGCTGGGGATATAGGCTTGAGGGGCAGTGCAGAGATATTATTCTCGACGTTGGACGTCGGCGTGATATGCTACGATATGGGATCTGAGGAGATTGGAATCGATGTGGCGGTGTATGAGGAGCGACGGAAGGAGGAGCAGAACCTGAAGGGTATTGTACGACATGAGCAGGTTACAAGACGGAGAATCACAGATAAGAGAGTCGTTAATAGCCCTGGACGCGGAGTGGTGAAACAGGCTGAGGGGGACTTGCAGATCGGAAACTTTGATAAGGACGGCGGCTTACAGGTGAAGGGCGAGGTACATTGCGACTATTGGTATTGTGTCAAGTGGCTTGACCGATATCTGACGTTCCACACGTGGTGGGGACCCTATGTCGATGATCCTCCAGAGGGCTCGGGAATTTTAGTGCTGGACTTTCACCCGCCATGGTAATTTCTTTTTGGGAGTTTTTTTTTTTTTTTTTTTTTTGGAAGTTGTTTATTGGGTTGTGTCCTGCGTCGCGAATATTTTGTTGGCATCATCATCATCGTCGTCTTGGGAGTTGGCATATAGAATTTATTTGGACTATCCAGATTATTAGTGTTGTACTTAATTTTTGCTCCGTTTCGTTCTTTCTTCCCTTCTTTCTTTCTTTACGTTCGCAGGCGGTCGAAAAATTGACTTTGAACAGTCGGATATGAGTCAGTAGTGACTTTCCTTTACGCACATTTGTATTTCTTTGGAAGGAACAAAACGACGACCGATCGTGTTGAGGGCCGGGAGCCCTGCAGTAATCTTTGACAGCTTGGCGGATAGTGCACTATGCCTGATGTGGCGTAACACAACTTATTGGAGAAGTTCCTTGTTGCCTGTCTCGTGCCCAGCCAGCCTTCTTGCGATTCTTGGCAGCAAGTGATTGGGCTGGGAACGAGGCAGACTGAGACAGTCTTATTGCTACTATTAATACTATCAGTTGCAATATTCTTGATCCAGATCATTGACCTCAATGTCAATGATAGAAAATAGCTGGAGATCGCGTGGGTCTAACTTAATCGGCTCATGACGTGCAATTCGGTACGACCGACCCCTTGATATCGCCGTAGCAAGCCGAGTGTGTGCGGAACTTCCCGCCGACAACGACATCGCCTGAGCTTAAACTCTTAATCATTCGCAGTTCCCTGACAGAGTTCTCTCCATACTATCTGCACCACTATAATGTCAACCCCGCCCAAGAAAGTGGTCGTAATTGGCGCTGGCCCTGTTGGCTCCCTCGCAGCTCTCTATTTCTCACACGCAAACTGGGAGGTCGAGCTCTATGAGCTCCGTGGTGATTTGCGTCTCCCCGAAAACCTCTCGCTCAATTTCTCCAAATCCATCAATCTTGCTCTCTCTGATCGCGGTATCGATGGTCTCCGTAACGTTGGCGACAATGAAGTCCTGCTGAAGAAGGTCCTTGAGGAGACAATTCCAATGCACGGGCGCATGATTCACTCAGGGAAACCAAGCGATAAGGGAATGAGCCAGGGATATGATGTTCACGGACGATTTATCAGGTCTGCAGACCGATGGAAGCTGAACGTCCAGATTCTGGATGCTCTTGCAGAGAGGGGGAACGTCAAGATGTTTTTCAACCATGGGCTGCGAAAGATGGACTTGGACGCGGGAGAGGTAGAGTTCGAGAATACGTTTGTCATCCCCCCCCCCATCCCCTGTCCATTTGCTCCTCCTCCTCCTCCTCCTCCCATGTCTAACGTTCCACAGGAAAACAAAAGAGTCGGTAACAGTCCACACCGACCTTGTCGTTGGCGCTGATGGCGCTCACTCTGCCACTCGTCGCCTCCTCCAGAAAAGTGTACAGATGTACTATGAGCAAACATACATTGACACTCTTTGGCAAGAGTACCACATCCCACCCCACCCAACTACAGGTGACTTTCAGCTCTCCCCAAACCATCTCCACATCTGGCCAAAACAGACGTACATGTTCATCGCCATCCCCAGCGCTGACAAGACGTTCACCTGCACACTCTTCATGTCGCCATCTCTCTTCGCTGATCTCGGCGAATCCCGCGAGAAGCACCTTGCCTTCTTCAAGAAGAATTTTGAGGATGTTATCCCACTTGTTGGGGAAGACGCCCTATTCGACCAATTTATGCGCAACCCCAGGCTGCCACTCATCAGTGTCAAGTGCGATCCGTACCACTACAAGGACCGCGCTATCATCATCGGCGACGCAGCGCACGCTATGGTCCCTTTCTACGGGCAGGGTATGAACGCTGGACTCGAGGATGTGCGTGTTCTGTTCGACCATCTAGCTCTGCATCCTGGCGATCTTGCTGCTGCTCTTGCTTCATACAGCAAGCATAGGAAGCCGGATAGCCACTGTATCAACGACCTTGCCATGCGCAACTACATAGAAATGCGTGCGTCTGTGACGTCTCGGGCCTATCTTGCGAGGAAGTGGGTTGAGGAGATGCTGTATGCCTACGTCCCCTGGTTAGGTGTTAGGACGATGTATAGTATGGTGTCGTTCAGTAGTCTGAGGTATAGCGAAGTTGTAGCAAGAGTAAGAAGACAGAAACTCTGGATGGATACTATCGCTGGTGGGGTGGTACTGGCGGGTGTGTTAGGAGTGGGATTCGTGGGGCTGAGAGGTAAGACAGGAGTACTAGGGACGGCGAGGGCTGTTTTGAGGGCATTGAGAGAGGGACAGTAACTTTTTAGACCATTTGTGGAAGTATTGAATGTCGTTAGAATCTTCGTAAAGACTTAAACCTCGATAATAAACTTTAGCTTTACTAAAGAAATGTTCCACAAGCTTCAGCCTAGAGACACCATTGATGCTGTGTAGGGATCCGTTGCCATCAAAACTACATAGGGCACTACTATTTTTCCTAGGTTAATGGCGAACCCTGTCCGGTGGCTTATTGACCAATCAAGACCAGTAGGGCTGCGCTGCAAATGTCGACAGAAAGAGTGTGCTTCCAACGCGTAATTAATTTGTTTTGGGACCATATCCCCACTATTATATAAGAAAAGAACGACTTCGAGAGCAAGAATAAATACCAAATAAGGCAATAGGCCACCATGGATTGCACCAGCCGTAGCTTTGCGGTTCCGGGTTAAGAATTTAAGCGGGAAACCGTTGGTGAAGCCATTTTCCCATTCAAAAAAGAGGAATGGGGGGCAGTGAACTCAAAGTATAGTCGTTTGGTAGTTGTGAAGGAGACGGCGTGAATGTTTCTAAAGGGGAAACCGTGCCAAGGATTGGATAGAATATTATATTGGTCGCTCGGGCAAGTGTGCAAATATTTGGCACTGAAAAAGTTGATATGGCCTAACATGCTTTACTTAACTCTATCACTGTTCGTTCTATCATTAAATACTTATCACACGCTAAAATTATTGTTACTGCTACAATTACTACATGTACTACTGTGAGAGCTTCACAAGGTCAATGAGAGAACCAACAGTAACGGCATTTAATAGAAAACGTTAGGCTATTAGTATTGCGTCCGGTCATAGTTTTTATTCGACCTGACCGCCAGAGGGATATAAATTTATAATCTTAACCCAATACTCGGCGCCCTTGTAATTAAATAGAGATAGAGGGGCCAGTAGGATCGGAAGGACACAAGCTCTACTCTAGATAACCCCATTTCATGTAGTACGTGCTGTTGCATTATTCACGTACCTTGGCTGGAAAAAAAGATAGGATAGTTAAAGAAAAAAGAAAGTTCTGAATGAGTGACTGTGGCAGGGTTCGAACCTGCGACCTTCTGCGTGTAAAGCAGACGCGCTAACCACTACGCTACACGGTCATGTCTTCATCAGACACGTAAAAATATATAAACAAATTTTTGAGTGCCCTCTTGACTACACCTCAGGTTAGCACACGGCCTTAGGATGATGTCGAAATAAAACGTGATGAGGTATGGAATTCCCCCACATTGAGGTGCTTATGATTACGAGGAGCTTTAATTAGAGAAAACCGAGTGGTTACCAGCTCCCCGTCGTCTTCTAAGCACGATACACATACTTCATCTCTCAATTCGAACCTAACTAAAATATCTAGGTCACCGTTCCTCTGAAACATCGTCATCAAGCAAAGAAATCTAATTGGATCCTCGCATTTCTTTCTCGTAATTATTCCTTAAGTACATGTGCTTGTAGTTGGTTTTGAAAACCATGATCACCGGCAGCATGGGCATGAAGAACATTGAAGTCTAAATGGGGGTCAAATTAATCTACATGGGGTTAGTCGCTTCGAGAAACTGCTGTGCCATACCTGTAGCCCTTGATAGCCTTTTTTTATCACTTGTTTCAAAACAGATCTCGGGAGTTCTTTTAAGGTTGCCTATCACGCTAGAGTTTTAACCCAAGAATGTATAAGTATTTGAGCAGCACCAAAGCAGAGCCGGGCCAAAACCTACATCTAGCTAGGATTTGGGTCGATATTACTGCGTACATCCCACAATTACAAGTCCCTGATTACGGGTACCTTAGAGCAGATAGCTGCACATGAGGAAACGTATATCCATGTAGTTGAGCTCACGCTTCCTTGTTCACAGCTGTCTGGTATTCAAGGCATAGGAGGGGCAGCCCGTCCTCTCTCCTCCTCTCTTTCCATCGTCTCGACTATTACCATCATCTCCATCATTATCATCGTCTCTTCTCTATCATTATCATCATCACTAGTAGTATTATAAGATCGAACACCTGATCACATGGCCCTTAACAGGGGAATAAGTACAACTCATCTCTGAAGGTTAGTTAGGAGGCTTTGAGTTTGGGAACACACGCTGAGACTTTCTTCTAGCTCCTTAAGCTTGTCTGAACTTCCCACAATGCCGAACAATAATTGACTGAGAGTTGATATACTTGCATTGTCATCATACATGTTGAAAGACTTGGTCCGTGAAGGAAGCATTGAGTTGCCACAACTGGGTTGCAATCCGAGATGGACAGCTTAGCTACAGAGGTAATGCTTCCGCTTCTGTGGTACAGAGCCGAGAGGATTCCGCAAAACCTTTCTTGATGATCATCGTCCTGGGCCTAACTATCAAACAATGATGAAGTGCTACTCCGAAATCCATAACTGGCTCCATCTGAACAAGCCCAGTACCCCGAACGCCGAGCGTGAATGGTCCCCTTCGGCGGTCGTTACCTACAGCTATTCCCTATGGCACATTCCGCTGAATATCAGGGCTAGGGTCACGTCAGCATCCTAATTGATGCAGGAAAGATGTAGATCTGCGCTCTAAATTGCTTTCGCTAATGCAGGAACCACTAACAAGGTTCCTGAATAAAGTGATCGATTATCTGGAGTCAAACTTCATCAACAAAACATGTAGGTACATGTAGTTTATGGATCCATGGGGTGACGAACATCGCAGCGCCTTTGGTCATGAAAGCCTGTACTGTGCCTCGCTTAAACCTCCCGGTACAGCGTCTACTCCGACAACGAGATGTTCGTAGAACATTGGACGCCGGGGGTATCCAGGGAACTAAAGATCGTATGGGAAATTCCTTCCTAGCGGGTTAAGGTGTGGTCTGTGCGTCGGGCTTTTAATCCTGGGTCCCTGGCTGGCAGAAATGCAGGGGCCAGCTGGGATTGCGTGCGCTTCGGCGACCTGGGGAGCGATCACGTGAGTGTGTAAAAATTTGTACTGTGGAGGCTGCGTGTCTCGCGAGTCGCAAGTGGATACCTCTATAGCTAGGCTCTAGCTCTCTACTGGAGTAGGGCATATGGATTTTACGGACATAGGGAGTAGTTGCTTCTGGACAACATTTATTTGCAATTGATAGCGTTGCGCTCCACGATTTCTACCGATTCTATGGCGCTTCGACCAATCGGACTTATTCTCAAGGAGGGCGAATTGAGACTAGCAGTTTTCAAGATTTAATAGGATCCAACGCTTTGGGTGTAGTTAATGGACGGTAATGATAATCTTCCTACAAACATAATTGCTTGGCATTAATATCATTTCATCATAGAATACCGAAAGGTTCGAAACTATTAGAAGAACCAGATTTTGAATTAACGAAACCTATATAAATATATATCATAAAACAAAATCGAAAAGAAAAAAAAAGAAAAAAAGCCAGTAAAACATAAGAAAGGTGACTGTTCCCATCATGATCCTATTGCCCAAATCCCCCTCGACCACCTACAAACCTCCCACGCACTCCCCAGCCCACTTTTACCCGCTACACCTGCCCAAAACTCTAACGCCCGTTCCGCCTTCTCCACAACTTCCTCCCACCCCATTTGCATTTGAAATCCATTTCCTGCTGCTGCCCTCAGTATCAGGGTATCGCATAGCCTTGCTCTGCAGTCAAACCACACGCCAGGGTTACGGTACCACATTGCGCCTCGATCCGTACTTAGGTTATAGACTGCATAGCTCAGTGCTAACGAACTGAAATGCGACACCTCCCACTGCAGATGACTGTCAGACAGTGAATCTAGCCACGGCAGATGGTTTAAAGCTAAGTTGATATAAGGCCTGTAAAGCAACTCATGGCACTCTATGAACCGCTTGCGCAGGTGTTGTTGAAACTCGTCTTCCAGTGGGGTAATATCGACCGGCGGGAAAGGATTCGGAAAATGTACACTCGGTGGGAGGCTGCTCTGCCAGCGAGATACATATGCCTCGAACTCCCGTGTAATTGTGACCAGACTTGCAAGGCGCTGCTGGTTTAATGCCTTTGATACGGTGGCGGGGTTGTCCAGGTCACACTCAAACGATGAGACCTCGTGCACAATCCGGTTGTGCAGTCTTCGAAGAAATATCTCAGCCGTGTAGTAGTACCATGACTGGTTCTCGACATCTGTGTAGTGCTGCGGCTCAAAGCTTGTTGGTGGTGCCGGGAAGTGAAGCGGGTACTCCATCTGCGAGCCTGTAGGAACTGGGAGAGAAAGGGCAGCACGGAGCTCGCATTCGGCCTTGAGACAGGTCCAGTAAAGTCGCTGTTTGAGGTACTGCTCATAGGTCATTCCAGTGGCATCACAGGAATTCGAGGGGCCTGAGCCCGTTGTTACATTGTGGAGCGTTTGCCAGGTAACACAGGCCGTGTGGAAAGCCTTATATGCGGAGATTGGCTCAAGATTGTACAGATACCAGAACCTACACCCATTTATTAGAACCGCTATCCCGCCTCAAACAAGTAGCCGATAAGTTACTACCCGGATAGACATAGGCACTGTACAGCAAGCTCACTATCCTCGCTCATGGCGAGTCCTAAGCGCTGCTGCGCCATACTCCAATAGTGCCGCGCGAGCTCTGTTTCCCCCGATGAATTGCGTGGCGGGTCGAAGAGAACATAGTCGGCATAGTTTTCGGATATAGCGCCGAGCGCGCATGTTAGTGCAATGAGGCAGGAGTCAAGATCCCATAAGAAGCCAGATTTGGCGACAGAAAGCATTGCGCGCTCCAGGACGGCCAGGTCACTGATAGGATGGCTGGGTCGCACGCGCATGACGTAGATGTCATGAAGGCGCTGGGTCGTTTGCGGTGGTGCTGGGGATGCAGTTGGAGGGGGAATGGCGGTGTGTGTGGAGGCGGGAATAGTTAATTGCGGGTGGTCGCGCGGAAAGACTGACCAGGCGAGGACAGAATCGAGACGGGAGGGGACGCGGAGTTCTGTGGCTGGAAGAAGACCGGATCCTGCTACAGTTGGGGTCGTGCTGGATGTGAATTCATCGATAATGACCTGATCCTCGCGGTCAACAACATGAGCGGGTGTGGAGTGTGCGGTGGCGGTGCTGAGAAGCGGAGAGGGCACGATAGAGCGTGGTGCTGGGGGATGAGGGGGTTGATGAGCGGGTGGATTCTTCATAAGTTTCTCCAGTCTTTCAATCCCCTCCAGAATCCTCAAGCTCGTGGATTCATACCTGGTCGGCCCCGGGTTAGCTTGAGCTATTCCGTTGGAGTACGAGTATCAACATACAAGCTCAACTCCTTCTCCTCTAACCCAGAATAATAACACTCAATTCCAGTCCTAACGCAACTCCCACACGCCGGCTTCACATTATCACATTTCGTTTTCCTGCTCCTGCAGCTATCACACGCTGTTGGCGCCCTCTTCCTCACGGGCGTTGTCGTTGACCCCCCTCCAGCTACTCCCGCCGCGGTCGTCATGGCACTCGTGCTCTGCGGCGATGTTGTCGTGCTCTTACGACCTCCGCCGGCGGCACTACTGGAGCCGTCTACTGCTGCTGAAGATGCGAAAATCAGACTCTGCTTCAATTGGGCTATCTACATGCTGCAGCACAGTACTGCCTGCAGACAGGGATTTGAATTGAAACATGTAACACTTGCCTTCGACACGCTGCCGTTTCTGGGGGCGAATACTGGCTTCTGAACGCAACACTGTCGTAGGAACTGGTAGGTCGAAGGGTGTCATTTCAGAGAGAGAGAAAAACCAAGATAACTCGCAAAAGAGTTAAGTTAAGCAAGCAGCACCTCTTTTTGAATTTGACAGGCGACAAGAGCCATAAGTGCTTGGGTACGTACTGTGCAAGACTCACTAAGGGCTAGGTGTCCCCAATTATTAAGCCCTGGAGCAATCTCCGCTGACCAGTTAAAATGCAGCTGTGGTTCTAGATTGCATTAAGTGGCCATACACAGCATAGCCCGTTCCCAGCCAGGCCCACACTACACAGTAGGAGCACCAGGTCTGTATCCCTCAAAAGCCTCCTCCATATGTAGATACATACATGCTCTACAGAATGCACTCCCCACAAAATAACGCTAATTAGCGCACTATGTTCAAAATACAATGGTGGATCGACGCTTTTGGACTGAATTAAGGTATTTTATGCAAGATTTGGCAGGATACACGCCCAGCTCAGCCCAGAAACGTCAATCACTCAACTCGTGCATACCCCGGGGTTATGTAGGATGATCTGCACCTGCCAGGCATAAGGTTAGACCAACGGTAAAAACTTCCCCAGAAAGGGACTCCGCTTGACCGTGTGATGGTTAGTTGAGTGTCCTGTGCCGGGGGCAGGCTTAATTCCGGCGGTCAACGTAATTGCCGAGGCAGCATCTTTCATCGCCGAACAAAACCAGGACTTCGGGATTGCTTGCTACGGCTACAGGAAAGGGAGGGAAACATCGATCTGATACATAATTGAGACATCCGCCCTGATAGAATTGGTCCGCCTCTCTTTTTTACTTCATTTTTTCTTGTCCCTTTTTTGTGGCTGTTCGTTCATTAACACGTTTTGGGGTTAGGGGTTTTCATCTGCTAAGCGTACCAGCGCATCCACTACCCCGCGAATGGATCTACAGCACCCTCAATTTCGTCCCGGAATCGATGTCCAAATCGATATTGACAGTCAGTGCGCGATGTAGGACGAACTACATCTAATAAATCTCTCAATTTCACCCCACCAGGGTACCCAGGATGCTTCCCAGGGTGCGATAGAATACAAACCTTTGTTTTTCTCCAAAGGAGAGAAAAAGGCCTCAACGGGGCGGTGGATACTACAGCGATTCACAGGCATTTGGCGAATACACCCATTTGACGAACAGGGGTCACGGCCAATAAGAATCAGGATATCTTAGTCAAACTCGCAGTTTGACTGGTTGCTGGCTGGTTGCTACATACAAATTCGCCAAATGGGTGTATTCGCCAAATGCCTGTGAATCGCTGTAGTAGTGATCAAAACTCTATTACCTACCATACGTCATGTCACACCATATCGGACGTTTGTTTCACAAACTCAAGCGAAAAAAAAAAAAACCGTACCTTTGCGTATCCGCATCAACGATCACTCGGCCAGATAAATAAAAAAGAAAAAGGAGCTCGTGCATAATTTTACCAATCCCAGAATTTTCTATTCCATTAACCAAAAAGAAAATACTCCTCACATAAGAAAAAGAAAATAACCACAAAAGAAACAAACCCTTTTATATACAGGAATCAAAAACACCCAGCCAAACAACTCGCAGCACGCTTAAGCAGTAGAGTTGAGAACCATCTGCCTGACGGCAGGAAGGTACTCACCCTCAACATCACCACCGAAAGCAACAGACATCTTCATGAGCTCCCTGTAGTTACGTCCAGGAGAAACCTTTCCAACGACAGTCTCGGTCCTGGTCTCAACCTGCTGGGGAACGACCAAAGGACGTCCGAGAATAGCCTCCATACCCTGGAAAGCGAAGGTGATGGCCTCCTTGGCACCACCGTTGACACCGGCCTCATCGAGCATGGTGAATCTAACGCCCTCAGCAGCGAACTGAGACTCCATGTACTTCCAGATGTTGGGGTTGTAAGCTCCGCCACCGCACATGTAGACCTCCTTGCACTTGATGGTACCATCGGCGTTCTTGGGTCCGTACTTGCGGTAGGCCTCAACAGCGGCGCGAGCAGTGATACGGGTGATGGTAGCGACGGTATCCTGGGGAGAGAGACCGCGGGACTCGCAGAGCTGGATGAGATCATAGGCTTGCTGGTCACCGAAGAGCTCACGACCGGTGGTCTTTGGTGGGGGCTGGTCGAAGTAGGAGAGGCTCTTGAGGTACTCGGCGACAATCTCCTCAGAGACAGTTCCGGCGGCACCGAAGACACCGTCTTTGTCGTACTCCTGGGCGCCGTTGGTGTAGTGACGCATGGCGAAGTCAATGAACATCTATCAACGGGTTAGCTGAGCTCAGTAGGGAGGATATAAGGGGCAGAGATAGCTTACGTTTCCTGGGCCAGTGTCAAAGTCGTAGATTCCGCTCATTCCACCGTTCTCCTCAGAGGTAGGGGGGATGAAGCAGACGTTGGCAATACCACCAATGTTCTGGCAAGCACGGGGGATGGTAGGGTGCTGGAGGAGGAGACCGTCGAAGAAGGCGATCATGGGAGCTCCCTGGCGGCCGACAGCCTGCTCAGAGATTCTGAAGTCGGTGACGGCGGTCTTTCCGAGACGGGCAGCGAGGATGGTACCCTCGGCCATGGTGAGTGCAGAGCGGGTCTGGCCCTCGTTGGGCATAGAAAGGAGCCAGATGGTCTGTCCGTGGGAGGCGACAACATCGATGTCCTTCTCAAGGTCGAATCCGTGGCGCTTGCAGAACTCCTCGACAGCGTCGGCGAAGACCTCACCGAGCTGGACGTTGATCTGGCAGAGCTCCTCGGGGGTGGTGGTGTTCTCACGGATGATGCGGAAGACGGGCTTCTTGATGGACTGGGGGAGCTCAATGTCGTCGTACTTGAGGATCTTCATGTGAAGGGGAGACGAGGGGGTCTCCTGAGTGAAGTGGCAGAGGACACAGTCGACACCGTCCATGGAGGTGCCGGAGTTAAGTCCAAGAACGCGGAGAGAGAGAGGGGCCATTGTAGAGAATGTTTTACGTGGTATGGGTATCAAAGTTTGGAAAAAATTATGAAGGAGGTAAAACTAGAATGGGGGGGGACTCGACTTTCACCTGAGAACAATGAGGAGGAGAGAGCTTGGTGACCGTCTTGAGAGCAGTTCTTCCGTCTTAATATACCCGTCGGGCATCTTCTCTCCAGCATATGACATAAAAATAATAGTCCCGAATCATCCGGGGAACGCATAATCATAGCTCTTCGCAAGTCAGTCATGCGGTGCGGGGAGCCCGCGCTATCCGCTCGTTCTCCCCGGAATTTGACTGATAGCTGTGAGCTCTCCATCCAAGTTGTTCGCGCCTCAAAATCCACCTCCGAGTATCTCCCCGAGCATCTCCCCGGAAGCTCTATTGCCCAATTGAGTTCCAAGCCTTACAATTGACCCTGTCCAAGGCTCAAAGATATTCCGAAAAGATCTAGAAATAAAAACCACATGAGTTTGAGGGGTGGGTGGCACGTTTGACGGAGAAAAAAAATTAGTTGCAGGTTGGCCGCCGCCGTCCACAGAGGGTAGTGGTAGTACCGTAGTGGTGGTGGGTGGCTTACTCGTCTACCGGATACTCCGAGGTTCTCCCCGTGAGAGGTTCCTGCAGGGATGGATCTAACGTAGCACCAAACCATGGTTCAGGGCTGGGAAGACCCCGAGACATGTGCATTTTTTTTCCTTTCCCTTTTTTTCTTTTTTCTTTTGGCCCGCCACGGGCCACGGGGCTTACCAAACAAATGGGGCTGTATCTGGCTAAGGTTTGATGTAGTCGACATCAAAAGTCCATCACGAGAATAAAAAAAGCCCTCTCCATGCTCTAGCGATCCAATGAGGAGTTACGTGTCAAGCCTCCGCAATTCTTCAGCACATGTAAAGCTGGGGCAACAGTTAATCCGTTCTGTCTTGGACGGCGGATAAAAAAGCAATTGAGAAAATTAGGGAAAGGTCACTTGAAATAATAATGCTTGGTATTATTATAAATGTGGCAAACGGGACTAGTGCCCTAGTGACATCAGGAACTTTGTTCCCAACTCGGACGACGCAAAGTGACAAGCAGTATTTGAGCTCCCCGTAACACTAAACGTCTGTCTCTGAAGAAACCGCTTCACTGCAGGCTGTAGGTAGGCCTGAAAATTGATCTAGGTGCCCTGGAGGAATGCTAGGTTGTACCCCACCCGCACAGGACAGGTTCCCCAGGAAATTCCTAACCCACAGTCTCCACCTCCACCTCCACCTCCATCTTTCCATGGACCACCCCCCCCCCCCCCCCCCCCCCCACAAAAGTCTTATGCCTGGCACGACCACTTACCTAGAGAAGTCTCGGATGTATGCGGCTCGCTTGCCCCAGAACCGGTCTTTTCAACCGTCCATGGGGTGGTTCGTTCTAAACAATCGTTCGTTCGTGGCTTTCCATCTGTAGTATGCTAGCTGAACCCGGAAATCGGGATTCCTCTAACCAAGAAGTTACGGCGGTCCCTAAACCTCACCGTTCATTTGAAATCTCATAAATGCAACCAATGGTCAAATGTATATAAACCTCTGAGGCATGCCATAATCCCATCAATTCCCTCTCTCAGTATCAGCTCCTTCCCCCACAAAACCTCCCTCCCCCTTACCCTCCCTCCCCCACATCTCCTCTTCCCATACTTCTCTTTCTCCGTACCCCAAAAAAAGTCCGCCGCCATGTTCATTTGGGGCAACGCCCGCGGGGCGGCTCTCCGAGTCCTGATCTCCATCGCGAGTTCCTCAGCCTTCTTGCTCTTTGGTTATGACCAAGGAGTGTTCGCCGGTCTCATTGGAGGCGACGGCTTCAAAGACACATTCAACAACCCTGACACCACCACCATCGGAACCGTCACGGCTATCTATGAGATTGGATGCTTCTTTGGCGCCATCTTCTCCTTCTGGGCCGGTAACAGGCTCGGGAGGAAGAACTCGATCTGGCTCGGGCTGTTTATCATGATGGTGGGAACGGTGCTGCAGACATCGGCGTATTCTCTTGGACATATGATTGTGGGACGTATTGTGACTGGTGTTGGTAATGGTATTAATACTTCGACTGTGCCGATGTGAGTATTTCTATTTGTTTTTTGTTTGTGGTTGTGGTTCTTCTTTGAGTATTTGGAGTCTTGAGGATGAGAGTGAAGAATGGTGTAACTGACTATCATTTCCCACAGGTACCAAGCAGAGACCACAAAGGCCCGTTCTCGTGGACGTATGATCTCCATCGAAGGATGGTTCATCACAATCGGTAATCATTACCCCTCCAATGATTAATATTCAACTATTCCTAAAAATAAAAACCCCCAATACTAACATTACCACCAGGCATCGTCATCTCCTACTGGATCACCTACGCCACCTCCAAGCACTCCAACCCCGACATCCAATTCCGCACACCCATCGTCCTGCAGGCCGTCTTCGGCCTCGTCACCATGGTCATGCTCATCGGCCTCCCCGAGTCCCCCCGCTTCCTCATGGCCAAAGACCGCCGCGAGGAGGCCCTCGAGGTCCTCGCCTACCTCGACGACGAGCCCATCGACTCCCCCAACGTCCAGCGCCAGTTCAAGGCCATCTCCGACGCCCTCGCCTCCGAGGCCAACTCTGCCTCCGGCGGCAAGATCCAGTTCAAGGACTACTTTGCCGGCGGCAAGAAACAGACCTTCCGTCGCTTGTGTCTCGCCTACGGTATCCAGATGATGCAGCAGCTTACCGGTATCAATGCCGTCATCTTCTACTCCGCGTACCTCCTCCAGAATGTGTTGAACATTGAGCGCGAGCTGTCGCTCATCATTGGTGGTTGCACCGGGTTGACGTTCTTTGTGTTCACCTTCATCCCGATCTTGTTTATTGACAGCTGGGGCCGTCGTAAGCCGCTCATCTACGGCGCCGCCGGGCAGTCGCTGTGCATGATGTTCATCGCCGTGCTCGTCAAGCTCTCCGCCGTCGACGGTAACGACGCTGCCGGTGTCGCAGCCGTCATCTTCGTCATCATCTACATCGCTACCTACTCCGGTTTCGCCTGGGTCGCTACTCCCTGGTTGTATCCCACCGAGATCTCGGAGCTCAAGTTCAGATCGCAGGCCACCGCGCTCGCCACTTCCGCTAACTGGCTGTGGAACTTTGTTGTTGTCAAGATCACGCCGCTGGGTGTTGAGAGCTTGGGGTGGAAGTTTTTCTTGATCTGGATGTGCTTCAACGGTGTCTTTGTGCCGATCATCTATTTCTTGTATCCCGAGACCGCCGGAAAGACGCTTGAGGAGCTTGACTCGCTGTTCTACACTACCACTAAGGCGTGGCAAATTACCGAGAAGGGGTCGCGTGTGGGGATGGAGGGGGAGGCTGCGGGCCCGGGGTCCGTCACGGATGAGGAGGATGTTAAGGAGAACATCCAGATGCGCGAGTAAGGCATGATGTGATGATGTTTGGGGATGATATTGAGATACCTTTTTTTCCCGGGTTGTTTTTTGGGTGGGTTGTTATGCCTGATGCGACTTATGTATTATCTTTTTATGTTTTTATTTCTTTTCGATGATATCTATTTTCTAGAGTCCGATTTATTTTTTATTCTTTTATTACTTTGGGGTGGGCATTGGGACGACGGGATGAGGTACATAGTAAAATGGGCGGAACAGCCAGTCAGGTTAGCAGTGATGTAGATAGATAAAAGATACTTTCACTTCACTTCATCCACCTCACTTCACTTCATCCACCTCACTTCACTTCACTTCACGAGAGAAACAAGAGTGGGTCTAGCCACAAAGAATTCCCCGAGTGTTTATCCGTGATCCGTCTGTCCGCAGGCCAATGATCGCCAGGGGGGAAATAATACAGCCAGGGATCAGTAGCATGGCGCTTGGCATGCTTGGCGTCTATATGACGTCGTTGATCCCTGTATCTGGTGAAACAAACCCGCACCCCGCCGCGCGCTGTCCTCCTGAGATATCCCTGGGCTCATCTCTTTGAGCCGCCTCAACAACACGGACTCTTGTTTCGTGACCTCATGGCTCAGTCCGTTTGAATCGCTTCCTATTTACCGATTGACAGCCCTTGCTACTCTAAGAGCCGCGGAAGAGGGGTACCGGTACTTTACGTAGAGTGATGTCGGGTTTACCTAAAAGAACTGGGGAAACAAGGCAAGCAAACAATGGTCCCTCACTGCAGCTGCGGTTGTGAAGCATTTGAAGACCGGTGAAGCATCTGAAGACCGATGAAGTATAAAAGTCCTTCAAGCCACCTACGTAGAGTATGTCGATATCCGGTCGGTGGCAGCTTGGCAGCTTAGCCGTGTTTGTGGATTTGTGGAGTTGTAACCCAACCCCACCTGAACCCTTGATGGTGCCCGCCACAATTGATTCGGTACACACGGTGAGGCGCTCCGTGGGGATTGGATTCTCACGATGGTTCATGGTGGGTACGGGTACTTGTTTAGTAAGGGAGGACAGGGGTGATATTTGTAAAAACCCCCGGCGAGACAGTAATTGCATACAGGGGCCGATATCATTTGACGATTTGGCGAATTGGGGATTTAGTTACTTTATCAAATCGCTACCAACAGCTGGCGACTCGTCTGGTTGTACCGAATTGGTAACCGGGTTTTCTCAATTTATATCGCAGAAGTAAGTACTAGTACCTTAATTGGTGGTTTTCGCCTTCAATGGAATAAAACTCTCAAATATGGAGATAGAATTGCAATTGCCTCTCTTCTCTGGCGCCACCACTAAATCCCAACTCGCTCATCTCATTAATTGATTCATTGATTGATAATTCATTAATTGTGTTCGCTCATCTCATTAGGCATAACTTCGATGCTTTCTCCTCATCGTGGATCAAACCAATTCACCTTGACCTTCGGTATCGCCGCTGAAGCAGTGATATGTCCTTTCGACCATATCCATACTGAAAAGCAATCACCTAGCCAAATCCGTGGGTAAATCTTCCGGTAATTTCTCCCTAAAGCGGCGCAATCAATCATTTACCCACCGTGCATATTAGTAAACAACCAAAACCGAGTGATAATCCAAGATGCAGCAACCAATCCCACCCCTCGCTGCTGACTAATCACCGCACAAACTCAGTCTAACCTCCTCATCGGATCTTCACGCACCAAAAAAAAACTTCAAATTCGCACACCAAAACCCCACAATCCACAATGGCCGCCGCAGCAGCAAGGACTCTTAGAATTGGTACGTGCCTTACTTACACTCCCTGTTCTGAATGAGCTCAATTAATTTTTGGCTTTTTTGCAGGACTCATTCCCGGTGATGGAATAGGCCGTGAGGTTATTCCCGTAAGTTACCGAGAGATTCGTTTTCGCCAATTGAATGAGTGCAGTGCTTATGGATATGTGTATTTAGGCTGGAAGGCAAATCCTCGAGGCACTACAGAGCTCCACAAACTTGAAGTTCTCGTTTGTGGACCTTGAGGCTGGTTTTGAGACCTTCAAGAAGACTGGAACTGCCCTGCCGGACAAGACCGTCGATGTGCTTAAGAGCGAGTGTGATGGTGCTCTTTTCGGTGCCGTAAGGTAAGCAGATCAGATATCACGAAAATATTAAAAAAAAAAAAAGAAGAGACGAACAGATGATTAACGACGGTTCCGCAGCTCCCCAAGCACCAAGGTCGAGGGTTACTCTTCCCCCATTGTGGCCCTCCGCAAGAAGTTGGACCTCTACGCCAACGTCCGCCCAGTCAAGTCCGTCAAGGGTGGTGCGATTCCCGTCGACCTCGTTATCGTTCGTGAGAACACCGAGGACCTGGTATATCACCCCTAATCCTCAATGATCGCGCCAACCAGCTAACCCCGCCCAGTACGTCAAAGAGGAGCGCACCTTCACCGCCCCCGACGGCACCAAGGTCGCAGAGGCAATCAAGCGCATCTCTGCCCGTGCCTCTAGCCGTATCGGAAAGATCGCTTTCGAGCTCGCGCTCAAGCGCGCTTCTCTCCGCGGCGCCGGCGCTGCCTCCCCGCTCGTGACCATCACCCACAAGTCCAACGTCCTCTCCCAGACCGATGGACTCTTCCGCGAGACTGTCCGAGCCGTCTACGAGTCCAACCCAGGCTACTCTGGAATCCGCTGTGAGGAGCAGATTGTCGACTCCATGGTCTACAAGCTCTTCCGCGAGCCCGCCTACTTCGACGTTGTTGTTGCGCCCAACCTTTACGGTGACATTCTGTCCGACGGCGCCGCTGCCCTTGTTGGATCTCTCGGATTGGTGCCATCCGCGAACGTCGGTGACAACTTCGCCATTGGTGAGCCTTGCCATGGCTCTGCCCCGGACATCATGGGCCAGGGAATTGCGAACCCGATTGCCACCATCAGAAGTGTTGGGTTGATGTTGGAATTCATGGGCGAGACTGATGCCGCCGCCAAGATCTACGAGGCTGTCGACGGTAACTTGGTTGAGGGCAAGTACTTGTCGCCCGATTTGGGTGGTAAGGCTGGAACCAAGGAGGTTGTCGATGATATCCTGAGGAGGTTGTAGAGGTGCAGTTTGTCTGCAATTGTATATATCCACTGACATAAACTCATCTATGTCCTGAGAATAAAAGTTGTTTCGTATGTTAACCAGTCGGTTTTGGCTTGATGTGATTTGCTGCAAATATTGGACGGTTGATGCCTAGATATGCTTGTCATCTTACTACATTTCATCAAATATTCAAGCTCTCATAGTAGAGTTTAAAGACCAAGACGAGATTATCAAGAGGACGGAGGAAATTAACTCACTTGACCGATATTTCTCGATCCATATCTTAGACATAGCTACCTTAACCCACAGACCCCCAATAACACACCGGGCAATACAGCATACTACCCAGTTCATTCGAGCATTTACGGTGGCGTCGGATATCCATCAATATTTCTACCACTGTCATACCTGGAATCTCGCTTCGGTTCAACCTGAAAGTGCCCGGAGTGCTGATTTATCTTGTACCTAAACCTAACCCTAGTCAGCGCATGCCGAGTGATTATCTATGAAGCCAAAAGAAGCCCACAACGAGCCAACTCACCGAAGAATTAATAAACATGCTCAGAAACACAACTCCTATAAACTCTCGTACGTTCCCATCACGAAGTAAGTACAAGCGTTATGAGACTCGTGATGATCATTGTCGCTGACGGATCACCGGTATAATGCTGGCTTGTTAGATTAGCCTCGATCGAGGACGAGCTGAAAGGAAGAACGCCGAAGGAGGGAGGATAGTTAAGTTGAGGAAGAAGAGATAGATCTCTACCAATTCTCTGCTGCTATATACTTCGATGGTATCTATTTGCCACCTCTTGTGATACGTGTCAGACCACCTTTTCCCCACCACAAGGTCACGGCGTAATATCTCACCCTATTAAACGTCGACAAGAACACACTCAAAGTAAATAAAAAAAAGACCGCCATAAAAAGGGCAGTTGAGACGGTATAGTATGTGAGCAAGGCTTAGAGGTGTTCAAACCTTCTCAGTCTTTGTTATCGAACTCCCAAGAAACCCTAACCCACTAATTATTTTGATTCTATGTTCGATGCGAGTGTTTGAACCATGTTTTAGTTTATGAAGATGGGTCAATAGGTTAAATGAAAGTTATTGAATTTTTAATACTCACGGGCGTCAATGGGCCAGCCCGGGCTTCCATGCATGGGGTGTTCATCGGTAAGAACTGGGTGTTCATCCACGCGAACTGGTTCGCGTCTGCTTGATTTATTGTGTTCGTTGGCTGGAAATAGATAAGATCGAATATGCTACAGTTTTCACTGCCTCTTATGGTAAAAGATGTATATGTGTCTTCGAACCCTCCTTCAAACCGCTAATATTGTATGAACACCTCGAAGCCCGGGCCTACCTATTTAGCCCGGGCCAAATATTGACCTCTGCCCGGCCCGGCCCATCAAATAAAACCTATGGCCCGGCCCGGCCCATCAAAAAATAGCCCGGGCCGCCCGTCTCAACCCACGGCCCATTGACGCCCCTGTTAATACTTACCAAGCTGTTCCACAGACGTCAATGGTATTTTCAGAAACTCAGTGATCATGAGCCATATAAAACACACATATACTATTCGAAAATGGAATGGCTTTTGGAAACGAACATAAGGCGTAAAATGGTTTTACTAAATCATGTGGGTTAGTATTTGTTAGGGGCGCATATATCACGCTGAGAGGTAGAATCCAAGAGTAATGAGAGTATTTTGTCTTTTCTCATAGAAATATCATTTAATTCAAGTAGCTCTGTAGCCTTCTCATAGCTAAACCACACTACCCCACTCTCCAGAAAGGTCCTATAACGAATTCAATCCCCAAGTCTCTCTATCTATTCAAATAACAGGATCCCCTCAAAAGACCAAAATCCTCCCCCACTCAAACACTACCCTCCCTCCTACCCTCGGCTCCTCCTCCCCCTCAAACGTCTGCTTACACTTCCCTTCCAGCCTCCACACAAAGTTCGCAATTCTCACACAATCCACGCCCCTCATCTCCCCCATCCCGCAGACCGCGACGCCTGCCAAGAGATGCGTGACCAGTTTGACACACTGATTCTCCCCCTGCGTCTCGGGACTGCACTGGGCGTCCCCCTTACCGCGGCCCCGGAGGACGTTGGAAGCTTCGAGAACGTCTTTAGAGAGGGGGGACCCGGCGTGCGTCTCGCAGAGGAAGTCTTTGACGATCCAGGAGTTGGTCATGTCTTTGCAGCCGCCGAGATAGCGGTTGTTTTTATAGAGGTCGGGGGGACACTTGATTGCTAGGGCAAGAGTTGGGAGGAGGCTTAAGGCGATGAACCAGGATATTTTGGTGAGCTTCATTTTGACTTGTTGGGTGAAAAAGGTTTGGATTGAATGCTATGATGCTGGGTAGAACTACAGTTGGAGATATGGAAGGGTTGACGGACACCCTTAAGATTGTCTTCTACTGACTATGGCCACGTTCTAGACTTAAATACTATATGTATGGATATAGTAGTCCGAGTGGGATACGTGTATATTCCGTGAAAGAAATAGAACACGAGTGATTTCCCATGACCAAGTTCCCCAACCATATCCATAAGAGTCTTGACCCATTCGCTACACATTTCGTCGTCTAAAAAATCTAGATTTACTTGTATATAAACTACATAGTAGGCAAAAGTTGTCATGCTATCACTAAGAGAACATTATATGCTCTACCCAGAATAGGGCAGGAAACTCTATCTTCTCGAAGGTTTGAGGAAGATAAAACCTGCATGCATATTCTGAGTAATCTCGACAAATCAAGATATTATTTTATATTTTTCAGATGGCGTGAGGATGCATCTAGAGACTGGCGAAGGGCACGTCGATGGGCCCACCCATTGATAAACGCTTAGTGGGTGAGTAGCTTCCTTGAATGGGCCAGGACACTCACGGGCTTCTGCCTTTTTTTCCACCGGGTAATCGTAACACCCAACACCCCGAGCAAATACCCAGATCAAGCCGAACCCTAACACGAGTGATAGAGAGAAAGAAACCCTTATCTTCTATCATCTTGCTCGATTTCCAGTTCCCAGGTTTGGGCAAAACATTCTATGTGATGCCACCAGACCCCACGTGACAACGTTACGCGGTCATCAACGTCTACAATCACCCAACCGCAAACCATCGTCCTGAAATTACAGTGAGGGATTAGAAATATTTCTTGATTACTACACCGACCTTTGCTCATGATCTCCAACCCACCACCGGAGCGGCCCCAACTCCACCGAATGGACCTAAGGACAGCACAGGAGGGACCCCGTCCTAGCGCCTAAGAGGGAGAAAGATTTTTCTGGGCTTTAACTAATTATAACAACATCCGCCACTGCTGTAGAAGAGACTCTCCGGGAATCTGATCCACCTCACCTCACAACCCCCAAAACTCGCAGTACCCGTCCAACAATAACAATAACAATATCACCACGACCGCACAAACCAGCGAGTGATACCCCATGACGCGCCGTCCCGTCACTCTCATCGACCTTCCCAAAACCGACATCGCGCCCCCCACACACTCTTGGCAGCCGGCCGACCCCCCCCTTTCCGCCCGGCCCGCTCGGCCGTCAAAAAGAAAAAAGAAAAAAGGGTCAGAAACACGCGCCAAGACAGGCCCCGGGAGCTCCCGGTGCTGGAACGCCCGTCGTCAGAGGAAGATTTGGTCTAGGGGGCTAAGGGGGCGATCATGAACTATCACTCCGTTCGCACCGCACCCCCCTCCTTCCCCTCACCCTAGCACCCCTCAAGCCCACGTGGGCGTCCCGTTCTAGACCCGCGCGCACGGGTCCTGGTGTCTGTGCCCAGGGAGTTCTTTGTTTGGGTGGAGGTGCAGACATACAGATGTGCGTGATGAGGACAGGACATATTCGGGACCGCGGTAGAGGGCAGGCTACATACATACATGTAGGGAGGTGGGCAGTATCCCTGGGTTTGAAGGGATGAGGAATATATCCCTTACTCGGGTTAATGTTACCTCGCCTTACCTTACGTCCCATCCCTCCGCTCTCTCACCCTCCTCGCATTGGCGGAAAAGCAAAACAAAGCTGATTAAAGGAATATAAAAAAGCAATTATTACCATCACATGCATAGCAATTTATCCTTTATGCATAGGGCTTACATTGTGATGAAAGACGTCATTCATAGGATATCACTCGCATGATCTCACTGGGCAAACGTGATAGGTTCAATATTCGATAGTGAAGGCCTTCGGCTAATGCAAGGAAGAAAAAAAAATAGTAATGAAAAGCCGCCGTGGAAAAATTTATAGAGTAAAGAGATAACGTAGATACGCCCCGGCGGGGCTAGATCAAAGTATGCAGAAAGCACTAGCGTAACTGACGCTGCTGTCTCTGACGTCTTCCACTTCGCTGCTGTGCTCGTACCTCACCCACCGGAACCTTCCTTGGGTTTCGTCCGCGTCTGTTTCTTCAAGTATACTCTCAATTCCTGCCATGACGACTCCGATTGGATGGCGCCCGCAGATGGTGTTCTTTGTCTTCCGTAGGTACTCCACAAAGACATCATGACTGCCTGTGGACACAGCAGACATGCCTTGCTTATCGAGTGCTGTGATACTCTCATAAATTGGCGGCCCATCAGCTGGTGGTGTGACCCGAGAAGATAGTTTCTGATGCGGGGGGTATGTGGAAGGTTTCACAGAAGAAGGGTCAGGCAAAGGATGGGAGCACGGTATGGGACCAGGAACTTCGGGAAGATCAGGGTAGTAGTGGGTAAAGTCGAAGCGAGTTCCCCTTATATATATCAGCGCCAGGTCCTATCTCAGAATCTCAACCCGGAAGGACCGAACATACCAGTGGCAGAAGTCTGTACTGATAACTACAGCTACGTCCTCCGCACCAATCAAATTTGCAAGTAACTCCCCGAACTCTTTCTCGACTGCTGCGCCCACAGATCCTACCATAATGGGTATAATCGGTGTTCCTGTCTTCCCCGCAAGCTCAAGCATCTTGTAAACATACGGCAGGTGCATTTCGAGGGAGTGCTCTGCCTCATCGACTGCCATCGTCATGGTCTGGAACTTGCCCGTTGCTCGCAGAGATGAAATAGTAGCTGAGTCTAGTGTGAGCGGACCGAGAGGAGTCGCATACGTAGTAGTGGTAGCTGGGGGAAGAGCACAGCTAGCAAGATAAACGTGGTGGGAGGGGCCGAGGATGAGGATTCGTTTACTAGAGGTATCAGCAAACATCTCTTGGATAATTAGAGGGTATTTACGCTTGAGAGAGGTCCCAGGACTTGTAAGCATATGCTGCTGCTGGCCCGGAGTAAGAGTAGCCTGCATGTCTGGATGATGTCGGTTTTCTGTCAGCTCCGCTCTATAGAAATCGTGGAAACGAGCTTTCTGATGATGATGATAGATGGCCGGAAGTGTTCTCTTTAACTAAGTGCAAAATCCAAGCAGGAGAGGTAGAGTGAAACACTTGTAAACTGGGAAGATAGTTTGGATGAAGACAGCTCAGGGAAGCTCAAACATACGGTGCGATGATGATTCTAGCCCCGCTCACTGGTACAGACCCCGCATCTTCGATCTCATCTCCAACAGCTTCTAGCCACTCATTTAGCTCTGCATTCAGCGTCCTCTTATCACCCGAGTACCAGCTGTTTGCATGAGTTGCACGTCGAGTCGACATCGAGAGGTAAATCAGGCTATATATGCAGAGCTTTAGGTTCGAATTAAGGTGGAGGATCGGATAAAAGTTTGAGAGGTGGAGGTGAGGGGTGTTTATGTGAGCTACAGGAGCTGTATCCTCGACAGGAAAGACGGCTGTTTATCGGGGAGGGTTGGCGGGGTAACTTGGCGGGGTACAAGCACAGATACATCATGTAAAAGTAAAGAGGAGGTTGTTACTCCTCGTTGTTACATCACATCAACAGGTCCGTCAATTCCACAGCTAGCTAGACTCTAGAACACAACAACATGCACGTCTCCGTCATTTTAATGGTCTCGGGCATTTTGTCTTCGCCAAGACCTGATTGATGTACATACATGTAGGTACATGTAAGTACATGTACCTACATACATACTTGTACCTCCTCCTCGTTCTCTGTTTGTCTGCGCACGTTGACATGCAATGGCAAGCATTAAGGTACGGAGGCCAATTGCAGTGGACGAAAGAGTGAAGAGTAGCCGAAGTCCCGGAGTTACTATTCCTCGCGAGGGCGATTGCCTCCCAGGCAGGACGAGGAGGAGGTGGGGTTTTTCTCTGCGAGTTCACCTATAAGGAAGGGAATGAAGAGTCCATGTATTTGATATTCGGAGACATGCATACCAAGAATTTGAAACAATACTAAATTGATTGGAATATCTAGATCTTGCCCCACAACGCCTCTTTATGTATGTGGCTGTGTCCTTCACGTTCAAGCAGACTTTCTTTGTTTCCGGATATGAGGTCGACCGGTTATGTGGCTATCCACACATCATGTATGATGTGAGCACTCTGCACTGCACTTTGGGTAGAGGTGCTCCAGAGTATTTGTATTTCATTTATTTTCTTTTTCTTCCCACACACTTTTCCCTCTCCGGGCTCACCCTCATTTTTTGGGAGGGGGGTTTAAGTCGTGGCTTGCTTGCTGGCTGGCTGCTGTGTGAGGCTGGCACGCGGCACCCCCGTCGTGTTCTCTTTGTGTGTCTCTTTTGGTAGGAGGATGAGAAGCTGGGACTCGCCTCCACCGAGGTGCTGCTGCATATTCCATGCCAGTGCATACCTACACACTCACCATTTTTTCCCTCCCCCCCCCCACTTTCTGAGCCATTGAAGCAGCTCTTGCGTATTGGTTTTCTGCATAAACTGAATTGTGATTTCCTTTAAGGGAGGGGGAGGAGGGGTGCAGGAGGTTTCGTGTGGTGTGTGGTGGTGGTTAATTGAATCTATATTTACTCATTTGCTAAAGACGCACATGTATGTAATTGTGGATTCCGGTCTTGTCTGTTCAGTTGTCCTGGCTGACTGATTACCGGACCGTCCATCTGTTTGTTCGTCTATCTCTGTCTGAGTACAGTCGTCTATCTGTCTGTGCCTCCGGGGTGGTTTGAAGACGCACTGACCCTCGCTTTTCCTAACTCGCTACCTACATAATTTTTTTTTCTCTTTCGCAAACACCAACAAAAGTCGTCGTGAATCCAGTCCTAAGAACGAGATTGTGAGCGTAAAGTGAGGCGTGAGGCGTGAAGTGTTGAAAGCTTGTTTTTCGCTCTCTCCATCTCTCTTTATTGATTTCTGAGGGAAAGAAGTGAGTGGGGACGAGTGATCGAGTGATCGAGTGAGAGAGGAGTGAGAGGAGATTGAGATTGAGATTGAGAGTGAGCGAGTGAGTGTGTTAGTTATAGTAGTCGATCCTACTTCGTCACTCGACAACTCGATTGACAAGAGAGACCTCCCCCCCCCCCAAGCCCCAGCCTCCCTCCACCTCACCCCCCCCCCCCCCCCCATCGCCCTTCTCGAGAGAGAGACTCACTCGATTTTGACACGCGACTGTTTCCTCGAATACCCCCCCCCTATATACCCTATATCCCTGCTACCCCATAACTCTCTGTCGTGTCGCCATCACTCACTCGTTCGCTGCCCTCCACCCCCCGCCATCGATTCAGAAGCCCTTCAACAACACCCCCCCTATCCATCCAAACAGCTTCCAAATACTCGATTACCGCGGCGCGCGTAACAACCTTTCCTGCCCGCCGAGGCAATCCCTCCATTTGCAACTCCCCGGATCCCCGCAACATCGCGTCACGCAATCTAATCTTCTCTTTCTCTTCCCCCAGCACTAAGAAGAAAAAAAAAAAAAAGAAAAAAAAGAGAGAGAGACTGTGAGTAGTATCGAGTGATTATATATTTATTACATACATATATATAAAAGCTTTGGGGATTCTTACATACACATCAGCAATCTCGACCACCCACCTTTAACCCCCTCCTCCGTTCCCCTCTACTCCGGCGGGCACGTCATACACTAAGTAGTAACGTAACCCCGTCACCATTCATCATCCGCTTAGCAAACAAATGGATCTCCGCAATATGCTAAACGAGGGTCCGCCCCAATCACCTCGGAATCCTCCTCCGCCGCCGCCGCCACTAGTGCAGCAGCAGCAGCCGCTACACTACCATCAACAGCAGCAACATCAACACTCTCTTCTTCATCATTCTACTAACCACTCTCAACACCAGCAGCTGCAACATCACCAACAACAACAACAGCAGCAGCAGCAGCAGCAGCAGCACGTCCAGCAGCAGCATCAACAGCTGCAGCAACATCACCAACAACCACAGCAGCAGCAACAGCAGCCGCACTCACAGATCAATCATCATCACCAACAACAACAGCAAAACCATCGCCCTACTCCTCCTCCACCAATACAGCCCCCAAGATCTCCGTTTCAGTCCCCTGCGCATAGTGGCCCAGCACCGGGATACCCCCATCAGCAGCAGCAGCAGCATCCTCAATCACAATCCCCCTACCATCCAAGCCCGCCTCCAAATTCGGGTCGTCACTTTTTATTCCCGCCTCCATCGCCGCTACAGCAGCAACACCATCAACCAAACTACGCGCAATCGCCAAGTACGCCGCACCCAATGAGCGCGCATTCAATCCATAGTCCAACGCCTACGAGCTCTATCTCGAGCAGTTCGCATAATCAATTCCCCCCACCACCTCCACCACTACCCCCACCTTCACAGGGGCAGCCCCAGGTTCAATACGCGAATAAGCCGCAGCAGCAACCGCACCTATTGCATCCTGCTCCATCCCCACACCAGTATCATAGCCAACACCACCAACAGCAGCCGCAGGCTCAACAACAGGTCCAGCAGCAGCCACAGGGATACCCCAGGCAGTCGCCGATACAACAATCACCTATGCACTCGCCAATTGGCCCAATAAGACCGCCATTGATACACGCGGGGAGCGGTGGTGCTAGTGATAGGTCATCACCTACAATATCTACACCTATAGCACGGAGGGATCAAGAGCGGGATCGGGAACGGGAACGAGAGAAGGAGCTACGAGACCGGGACACACGGGAAAGGGAGCAGCGGGAGCGGGAAAGGGTTGCTAGGGAACGAGACATCAGTGTATCACCCAAAACAAGAGTCCCTACCTATCTACCCGACGACGAGCCAATTCCAGATACGCAAAAGGAGGAATTCTCGTATCCCGGCCCGCAGCAGAAGAATTCCCGCCCGAATTCCCAGCACGGTGGCAGTCACACTGGAGGCTATAATAATACAAGACCGAGACGGGGCTCTCCGGCTGCGGGGACGCCGAACCACGACCGGCGTAACCACGACGCGATGGACGTTGACACTCGGGAGGCTCCCCCGAGCGTCCCTGTGGTTCCAGAGCGGAAATGGGTTGGTCCCGTTGTGGATAGAGGAAAACCCAATGGGTCAGCGGCCGGCGTTGGCAACGGCAGGGATGGTTCGACTCAACAGCTGGCACCACAGCAACAGCAGCATCCCTCGCCGTCTCAACAAAACACACAACAACCACCGCCGCCTCCTCCACCCCCCTTAACAACTCCTTCTACAAACAGCAACCCCAGTTCCACGTCGTCACAGCGTACTGCAACCGTTTCTCCAAATAATAAAGATCAGCCCCATCAGCCACCACCCATAGCTCGGTCAACCTCCACCCCTACAAATATCAGCGCCCGGCCACATCCCCCGCCGTCTCCGAGTCCTAAGCCTAATAAGCAACTCGGCCCGCCGCCAACACCAACTACGTCGCACGCAGTGGAGGGCAATAGCAGCAGCCCCGGGTCCGGGGCCCCGCCACGGAAGCGACCAAGGAGAGATCATGAGGCGCCGATATGGGCCCGAAAGGCTTCGAGAAGTTCTAGTAGCAGCCCCGTAATGTCTAATCGGCGGCAACCTAGTAACAGTTCAACTTCAGGCCCCCCTCCTCCCCAGAGTGCACCCCCGCAACCAAACCAACAGCCAGCGCCACCACACACTCAGCCGCCCCAGCATCAGCAGCCACAACCGCAACCGCAACAGATGCAACAGCAGGGGCAGCAGCACCAGCAGAGAATTTCAGCTCCTGCGGGTCCTCAGCGCATGGTTCCGGTTATCGGTCCTTGGGAGCCATCAATCGGGAATACAGAGCCGCATGAAGAACTGACGAGGTCTATTGCGGACTTTTTGTGGCGGGAGGTCATCATGAGATATGAGGCGCAGCCTGCTGACGAGGTTAGCGGGACTATGATAGAGATTGAGGCAAAGATTGGGCAGATCATCGATAGAAACACCAACGCAAGGGTAAACTTGCCTGTATCTACGGAAACAGTGATGATTAATGATCATAATTATCCGATTCAATTTAAGAGTAGCATGACCGAGGTACGTACTCATGAAAGTGGAAGAGAGAAATTATTTCGGGGCGGGTTGCGGAACTCACAGGTGAAGCTGCTGGTAATGAGGGTATGATAAACTAATTCGTGGCACAAACTGCAGCACCAACATAAACATGCAAACCGCTTCCTCAACAAGCTCTATGAGGAGAGCAAAACCCCCCTTACCGCAGGCAGTCCTCAACCCCCCGGACCAACTCGAATAGCGATGGGCTACACGCATACTCGTGAAAAAGACATGTTTTACGAACTCCCCCCTTCGGAGGTTTCATCACTCCCCCGAATGCTGCTGGAACAACTTAACCCACGGCACAAGGTAAAGGTCAGGGTGACAACAGACCAGCGCACCGGAAAGGTCCTGAATACGATAATCAAGGCCCGGATTGCAGACTGCAACATCTTCTGCCCACAGTCACGCTTCGATTGGAGGGTGAGCGTGAATATGGAAATGCCATGGGACGGGGACGTAAAATCACTGATGGAAATGGGGGAAAATGATGGGCCCGTGAGGCTGAAGGATCGTCTTAGCTATAGACATCTGGCTTATCAGATTGATTTGACCCAGGTCACAGGGGTAAGTTACCTACCCTTCCTCTTTCCCTAATGTCATTGGAGTATTAACTGAGCGGGTGCAATAGAACAAATCTTCCAAGGAGCATGAGCTGGAAGTAGAAGTCTCTGGAGAAGAGCTTAGGAAACATGGACGGCTTGCAAATCATGCAAAACCTAATGCGTATGAAGCAATAGTGAGGGGGTTCGTCGATAATGTGAGATATATAGTCCGTCACGCAGCACCACCCGAAGTAGGGCCCGAGTGCGGGTGCGCACCTGGTGGACCACAAATGCGGAGATAAACGTTATGAAGAAGAAGGCGGAGTGCGAACCGCGGCAGTGATAGTGTGACGAGAATGCATCTAAAAAACGCTCTCCACGAAAAATTCCGAACTGAACGACATATAACATTCGTCATGTGTATTATTTTTTTTCTTCTCATTTTTTTTTCTTTTTTTCTTTCCTTCTTGTTCTCCTTTTCATCTCATCATCTCTTTCCTCCCGAGTATGTGGAGTTAGCGGAAGAGGCGAAGGGTGGGAGGCGGGGAGGGAGAGTCATTTGTCTATTCTTGTATTCGTGTTATTTTTTCTCTGGGGTCTTGAACTTTGGTTACTTTGGTTTGGTGGCTTGCCTGAATTTTTCAATTTGTATTGGTATATTTTATTTCATTACCATTTTCCATTGGTTCCATTTGCAGCTTCTTTTTCTTTCTTTCTTTTTTATTTTTTCCTTATTTTCGATTCACTTGTATTGTATGAAAGAACAGAAGAGCGCGAGAGGGGAGGAAATGGGGCCGTCCATCCTGAGCGTCCCAATTGAAACTTCTTGTATGTGTATTTTGGCCTACCTCCAACTCTATTTCTTTTCTTAGAACGTTCCGATATCATCCAACACATACTTGTATGTAGAAAGCTCAATATGATCACGCAAGAAAAAGATCAAAACAAAACAAAACAAACCCTAGCCCTGAGTACAATCTGATTGGTGCCACCTGAACAACGATCTGCGACAGGGATTCGGGAGCCGCGCTACTCAGAACGGTTAAGCGAGAAGATAAGCTTCTGGAATCGGCGTTTCGGTGTGGGGTGGTGGTGGTGGTAGCGGTGGTGGGTGGGAGACTGGGAAGGATGGGAGTGATTAGTCTGCTGCCCCATGTTTGGGTTTCGGGGTGCGGGTGTTCCATGGATTTGTGTATGTGTGTGTACGTGTAGCTAGCAGTCTATATAGGTACATGTATTTACATATGCCTTGGGAGCGAAAACTGTACCTATTTCGTGACCGCCGGGGGGGTTGGGAGATATCGTGATCGGGACGTCGTAGTTGGTGTGGTAGCCTGTAGGTGTGTGTTCTACGGCTAGATATCAAGATTAAGTACGCACCTTTTTGAAAACTCAAAGGATGGGCGTACGGAGAAGCTACACGGGGGTACTGTACGTTGCACCTTCTTTCTTCTTCTCCCCCCGCAACCCACACGAATTAGCTCTGAGCCTCTTATTTCTGATCACGACATCGCGAGGGACCATGTAAAACAACCTCGAATTATCGATCTAGCAAGCCCCTTCCCTCCTAGGCCTCCCCTCCGCGTTCGTTTAATCTAGCTACCTGGCCAAACGAGGGGATGACACAACAGGCACAATCATGAGCCAACACGGCGACAGGCATTCCAGACCACCATAACACAAGCACAAGTCAGCAAAACCGAGGCTTGTGAGACTACTGTGGCTAAGATGTGGCTGGTGAATATCAATGATCAAAGTGAATGTTTTACATGAGTGTCGGTTTCGTTGCTTCACTGCATTTAGGTAAATGGTGGAATGCTACGTTTTATATAGGCATACTTTTGGCATTTAGGAGTTAGGATACTGGCGGGGGTTACTCTATCGGCATAGCCCGGAACGATGCTTTCGGGGCTTACGAAGTAGGCCTTCCGTCGCGGGTCGGAGAGGCGTACGTCTCTATCCTTGCATTCGCTGAGGCGCTGTTTGCTTACTTACTTGAGAGCTACACATAATGAAGGGAGAGGGCTACGTGGCTGGGCTGCTAGAATAATATCGACTGGGAGCATCTTTTTGGGCATGCACGAGGGGTTAGTATTGGGTGTGGGGTGTTTGAGACGTTTCTGCGTTTTGCCTCGGGATAATGCAGCTGGTGTACGGTAGGGTAGGAGGAAGAGCACGAGATATTCTAGGGCTCGAGTTTGCTAAATCACAGGAGAAGGCTCGAGAAATTGGGGACTAAAGAGCAGTCAGCTCAGCTTACGTTTAACGTTCCCGCGAGTCTAAACTTCGGACACAGGCGGGGATGCGTTCTTGGGACTTTCTTTTTCTTTCCTCCTCCCTCTTTTTTTGGCCCAGGCACTTATGAAGTCATACAATCAACTAATCTCTTCTTAACGCTCGATCTTTTCTTTAACTCAACTCTCTTCAACACTTGACCCAGGGATACCTTGTTATGGCTGAGGCCATCGGACTTGGAGCGAGCGTTGTCACACTCGTTCAGCTCACCGCACAGCTAGCCGCTGTAAGCTTCAAATATATTGGTGGGGTAAAGCAAGCTCGCGACGAAATTCAAAAATTGGTGTATGAGATCCGATCGCTCTCTACCGTCTTCGCCAACTTAGAGGTCTGCATACAAGACGGTTCCGGATCCACACAGCTGAAGGAACTCGAAGACTCGCTGCAGAAGTGCACCTTGGAGATAAAGAATTTCGTGGAAAAACTAGAGCCTACAGGGTGGTCCGCAAAGAAGATGATTTCACTTACTTGGCCTTTTAAAGTGAAGGAAACGTTAGACTTCGTTTTACCCATGGAAAGATACAAGCTTCTGTTCTTACTTATGTTGAAAACTATCGAAACGTAATAACTATACCTATCGATTACGTACCGGCATTTAATATACTGATGTGCAAAAGAAAAAAGAAAGAAGAAAACAGGTCTCGGTCAAAACTTATCGAAGCAAATGTTCAAATAGTTGGCGCCCATGTCCAAGATATCAAAAACGATGTACAAGAGATGAACACTCGCGTGGAATACATCAAAGATGGAGTCCAAGATGTCAAATATACTACAGGAAACATTGAGAACAATGTTCAAGACGTCAAGAATAACATTAAAGACCTGATGACAGAGTCCGAGAGACAAAGTGATGGTAAGAATGTCCGCGTAGTTAATCCGAACCTTTATTGATACATCGATTATATTGTGAACAGATAAAAGACGTACCGAAGCTCTTAATTGGCTATATCCTGGGACATGTAACGAAAGACACCTGGAGATTAGTAGGAGAAGGAAAAAAGACACCGGCCTATGGATCTTTGACACGCCAGAAGTCCAAGACTGGGTTGAAAACACATTGCCAAAATCCCAACTCATAGGGGATATGGTATTCGTAGGTTTCCCGGAACTATAGCTAGTTGCCACCCTCTTAATGCCTTAATACTAAATACATAATAGCGGGTGCTGGGAAAACCTTCTTAAGGTTAGTTTCTATTTTTATGATATATATTTAAGTCCCCAGTTTCTTCCTCTAGCACATCGGTACCTTAATACTCGGACCTGTCCCGCTCAAAAGGAGCCGACTTTCACATAAAGAAGCCCAAGAACCTTCTTCTCCTGGCCATGGTAACGCCAAGATCATACCACTACCGATGCATGTAGTACTCAGCTACATGTAGCTAATTCTAACAATAATTATATAACTTATAAACTTTCCCGATTTTTTTCAATCTTATTAAACAAGGACTAACGAAATATCGTATTTTTAGTTCTCTCGTAATCGACCGGCTCCGAGAACAAGCTTCGTCAAAACAATATGGAGTAGCATATATCTACTTCAACTATAAAGAGGTGGATAAACAAATATCGACGGATGTTCTCGCCAGTATCATCAAGCAGCTTGCCTGCCAAATTAAAGTACTACCTAAGGAAGTCGAAGAGAGCCTCACCCAATTACGAAAAAAACCTCACGAAAAGCCAAGCCTTAAGGATTTGCAAAGCATTCTGATACTGGTAATTAGATCGTTTACCAGGGTATACATCATTTGTGATGCATTGGACGAATGCAACAAAAGTTCTCGACTGGAGCTCTTACCCCTTTTTCGTCGTATGGGAGATGAGGGCATAAAATTGTTTTTGACAAGCCAGGAGTATCCAGAAGACATACAGGAGTCTCTTTCCAAGCTTACAAAGATCAAGATTTGGGCCAGGGATGGAGATATCGCTAGCTACATAAAACAAAAGATCAATGATTACCCACGGGCACGGCGTCTAGTTGAAAGGGGAAACTATCAAGAAAAGGTCATTTCTCGGATCACAAAATGCGCCCATGGAATGTGAGTAGGTTCTTGAATTTCTTTTTCAAAATCAGTACTGACGTATCAGATTAGGTTCCTACTTGTCCATTTTCACATTTTCACATTTGCTTGAACAGACTACCCCAAGAGGATTCTCACAGGAGCTAGAAAGGCTCGAAAAATCTCTTGATGAGACTAGCCCATTTAATCGTATATACGATAGAGCTATGGATATTATTAAGCTTCAGCCCAAGAAACGCAGGGATCTGGCGTTCAAAGTACTATCGTGGCTTGTTATGGCTAGACAGGTTCTCGATCTTCGCCAGCTTCAGATGGCAGTATCTATGGAGAAGGAAACAGTCGATTTCGATGACCAGGAGGATTTGCCAGAAATATCAACCCTAATTGAGGTCTGTGCTAGTCTGGTAACAATCGACGAGAACAGCAACACCATTAGGCTTGCTCATTGTACGATTCAACAGTATCTTGAGTTAAATCCGACTTTCTCTCAGGAGGCGAAAACGATTGTTTCTATATCTTGTACGACTTTTCTTTCCCTCAATAACTTTAGACCTTACGTCTCCGGCACCATATCCCCAAAGACAGAAGAGCTTGTTATGCTCCTCGAGGAGTATCCGCTCTTGGGCTACGCATTAGATCTTCCCTACCATATTACAACCTGCAGCGACGAGGCCCTGCCTATAGAAAGCCTCTTGAAATTCCTAAACACGGATAATATCAAAATTTTCAATAAACCAATTACGGATGTGTTGTGCCCCAACCTTATGCCGCTAGAACCAGAAATCACGAATCCTCTGTTGCACCTGGCGGCTACTCTAGGCAACCTTTCTGCAGCCCGTATATTGGTGAAATATTTCGATATTAATGGATTCACTATTATGGGGTACACGCCACTTCACCACGCTGTACTTGCAAATAATATATCGATGGTGCGGTTTTTGCTTGATGAGGGGGCCGATGTCTCCTTGAAGAATAAACATGGGAATAATGTCCTGCATTTGGCAATTGGAGCCATGCCGAGTAGCGTCGATATATATTCTACCTTCGGTCCGGCCAGATATGAGAGTAGGCTGGTTGTACAGAGATTTTGGGCATATTGCGGACCAAATGGCGTTTCTTTTGCGCCGATAGCTGGAGTGTTTACGCCGGACTCTTTACCGATTGTCAAGTTATTGCTAGAGTATGGGGCCGACCCTAACGCCACTAATTACTTCGGGTGGAGTGCGCTACGTAACTCAGTCATAAGACTTAATAAGGATCTTATCGATTTATTACTAGAGTATGCCCTTAACCTCAACGCTAAGGATTTCGAAGTTGGGGCGGGACCCAAGTACGCCAAACGCAAACCCAACACTAAGATTTGCTCTAGTTGTAGTGAGCTACGGGATATGAAACATGAGATGTCCTTTCTCAGTGAATATGGACCACGGTGTCCATGGTTAATCCGAGGAAAAATCTTGAAGAGTTATTCACACCCGCAGCCGCGCATACGTGTAATTGAGTAGACATTTAATAGAGAAAAGGTTTTATATACCACGCAACTTGGCATATACACTCCCAATCTCTACTAGCAAAGTAAATGCATCAGGAAATGGATCCCTTTTACACCTATATTTTGTGTGGGGAAAGGAAAAGCATCAGGAAAGTCGTTGTTTAATGTATTATAGAAAATGAATATGGTAATAAATCAGGAAATGCATTAATTTAGTATGGGGAAAGGGATCTCGAAATGCATCTGGGAATGAACCAGGAAATGAATCAGGAAATTCATCCCGAGTGCAAGTGGACGACTTTCCAGACGACTTTCCTTCTACCTTAACCCATAACTAATAGTTAAAATATCATTTAAAAAATAATACCTTTGCTAGGATTCGAACCCTAGTACATCCAATAGCTAGAATAGAACAGAACCATTAAACTACGAATTGTTACAAGGATAACCTATATCATCTTTTTTTTTCCAGGGTATGTTCTTGGAACAAGGTTTTGATGACGACATTTCCCACGGAAATGCGTAGGGAAACGCATCACGGGATGTATCTCCACACAGCCTCATCAGTTAATGTATATTTTGATGCCTTCCCCTCGATCTATTGTATGGGAAATGTGTGCATTTACTTCGCTAGTAGAGAATTAACACTTGCGCATACCACAAAAGATGTGAGATATTTAATCTTTATGGTATACGTAGGGTTATGTCGAGATCTTCGATGTCAAAAGGATAAGCCTATTCCTGGCAGGCATCTAGCTCTATTTATGGGAGTCAAAATTACTCAATTGCTCTACTAATTGTTGAGTTATTCTCATTTGAAGGTGGGTTCGACGTTGTCGTGAGTTATCGGTTATTTGCCGACTAAAGTGCCCAGCTAGATATTGAATTATACCCAGGGAAAAATGGAAAGTAGAATTAACCCTTGGACTCCTGAGGAGGTGTGGTGGTCTGAAAAAACAGATTTACTCGCTGAAAAATCCACTCGTTGCTTGCTACCAGTCAAGGAAGCAAGTGTCAGCAGCAAGTACACTAATTGGGAAAAATCGCCATAATTACTCACTCTCAGTTAATACGGCATTGATCGGAAGATCCGAAAAACTCGGAAGATACATTCTTCGCACGCTGCGATGCCAGGGAGATATCAGGGAAGGAGGAAAATTCGGAAAATTCGGAAAAATCAGCCTTCACAGACATTAATAGATAGAGGTGAAGGAAAGCTCGTAGTGTTGTGCCTCTCGAGAATACTTTTACCGGAGTTATATCTACGTATGTCAAATACATGTCCGGCAATGTTAGCTATGACCAGGAGGATGCCGGATATCATGCAAAGTGACTTATCTTGGTATGCGAGTGATATCTTATGATCTTACACACCTTTGTTCTGGTTTCTGTATAGCCTGGGGTCGGGGATCCATGATACCAGAAACAAGACGTTACAACCACTCTTTGCGGGCGTTTTTAATTCGTCCAAAGTTGGAGTGACATATACTGCATGTATGTCTGAAATGACTAATTAACCCACAGGCCTAGGTCCCATCAAAACTTGAAGAACACCACCACAACCCACTTACAATAACCTCTGGCAACTATGGCTCGGTATTAGAGATCTCACAGTCAGGGCGAGAATACGCCGAGGCTGGGCTTGTTTAGAAAATAAAAGTCTTGGTGATAGCAAGTACCCCCACACGTACCGGCCCATCCCGACAACAGAGCGGCAAAAACTCTGTCTTGGCATATCCACATATCCTCGCCGCCACAAACACCCGCCCATCCACCCCCGGCCCCACAGCCGCCAACCCCTTTAAAACTCCACAATTCTGCTGATCTGGGTCATTCCCTCAGCAACACGACCCCCAGCAACACGACCCCCTCCTTCCTTTGAGTCCCCTATCTTCCAGTCTTGACGTTGGAAACATGGCTCTTCTGCCGGGTTTTCCCGTTTCCGTTCGTTTTTTAGGGGACGGGGAGCCGATGAAGCTGCAGACGTTGGGGCGGTCTTTGGTGGATTAGGGTTTCTTTTTTCTTTCTTGTGGATTTTTTGTAGGTATATACATGTAGTTTAGATGGTTTTTTTCCTCTATTTTTCTTTTTGTATATACATGCAGTAGTTTCCTTTTGTAGGTACATTTGAATCTCTCTACAGTCGCCTCTCGTTACAGTGATACTGCATGTAGTGATATTCTCGTTATAAGGATGACACCCGCCGTCCCAACTTTTTAGTATGAGGTTTAATGATATTTTTATATAAGGATATCAGTAAGTATTTAGTAAAGATCTGTATGGGTATTCTTATAACAAGAGTAGATTTGGGTGTGGCGAACAACCCACAAAGGGGGGGGAGGGCCAGCGTTCTCAGGAATTTTACATAAAATAAAGTCTGGGAACAAGACTAAAGATGTATGAACGAGACTGGCCTTAAATAGTCGCGTGTCTATACCCTAAGAATAGCTTGCTATTCACTGTCAATTTAGACTATTTTTTTCTTTCCGGCCTCGATCTAAAAACCTAACCCTCATTCTGTATAGTGATAACATCGATGTAAGGATACCATTTTTCGGTCCCGACCCCATCGCTATTTAAACGAGAGGCGGCTCAGGTATAAGGGTACCAATTTCCAGTCCCGAGCGTACCGTGATGGGGAGATCAGACTGTAAATACATCAATTAAACTACAAAAAAGCACTAGCTACTATCGATCCCTCCCCGCTCCTTCTTTTTTTAAAGAAAACTCGGAAGTCCCCCCTCGTGAAGCTGTCCAACTGCAGCCTAAACCAAATCCCCCACGTGCACACAACCAAGACGAGAGCACACAGACCACGAAAATATTATATGACCCCAATTCCAAGGCGCCCCGGTATTTCCTGCTCGACACCCCAATCCACCAGGAAAAGAGTTAGATCTAGATCTTACTTAGGGACATATAAAAAAAAACCACTCTATATCTTACCAATTACTAAAAGAAGCCTCGGCCGATTAATTGTAAGTCGCAAGAAAAAGAAATATCAAGCAAGAACTTCGCAGCAGTTGGCTGTGATTTAGTGGCTACATATATACCGGCCATTAATTTAATAGTTGCCAAGTTAATTCCGTCGTCTTTTGTTCTCCTCCTAGCCGGGCCCCTTGGATTCCATGCAAAGGTGTTAAAAGTCGTATTAGGCACAAACTATTTGAGGCTAGAAAGCGCGTAGGCTATTCCAGTCCATCCCATGCACCTGAGATGCAGTGATCAACTGATCATAGTTACTTAATTAAGCTATATACCTCCAATTCAATAGGTCGAAATTACGGTAACGACTCCATTGGAGGAGGAATTCTAAATAATCAACCACTTTAATTAGGCAGGTTTCTCTCTCAAATTCCCAAGTCCTCTCAGCTGCCAAAGGTCACTAGCATCTTCATTCCACCATACCACCCGCGGTCTAAACCATCATAGTCTATAAAACCGGTTCTGGTATTTTAAGTGGGGACCCGACCACCTCACAACGCCCAAACACAACCCATCACTCGGGCCAAATCTGCTGAATCAGCCCCAAGCCTACAATCAATAGTAATTATAGATAAGATAAGATAAGATAAGATGGGTACCTCATCCCATCCCACCTCTCTCAAAAAACCTCACACCCAGGATCTGACATCTGACATCTTTCGATCGCCATTGCAACCCCCCTCCAATGGAAATGGGATAACCAAGGAAAGGAAACGCACCTTGATCAACCAAAAAGAATACCAGCCCCTCTGATCCAGTCTCTGCTCCTCCCAATGGTGCTGCGTCTGCCCCCCCGGGCGCCAGCGCCATCAATCTGCCTCAGCTGCCTCTTCCAATTGCGCCAAAGCTCCCTCCCCCGCAGGTCCCTCTCCACACTCGTCCAGCAGCACCCCGTAAAGCCTCTACGCGCCGTCAAAGCTCCCTGGAAGCCCAGCTACTTCCTCTCTAACCGTTCCCTCTCTGACGACGCCGCCTCCTCCACCGCCCCCCCGCAACTACTCCCCCACCGCCGCCGCCAACAGCTTCGCAAGACCCTCGAGAACGCCGATGACCCCAACGCCCCTCTTCCCCCGGATGCGTCGAGCCTGCTCTCGACGTCCTCGGCGTCTTCGCCTACGGGCTCACTAAAGCGCCTCCTATACCCGTACCTAGCACTCTCGAAGCCGCGTCTCACCGTGCTCGTAGTCCTCTCCGCAATGGCCCCCTACGCACTGTACCCCACGGACCCGCTTCTCGCCACTACCACTGCCCCAACCCTCTCCGCACTCACACTCACCTTTCTCACCCTCGGCACCACGCTCTGCTCCGCCTCCGCAAACGCCTTTAACATGTACCTTGAGCCCGCGCACGACCGCAAGATGTCGCGCACGCGCAACCGCCCCCTTGTCCGCGGGCTCATCCAGCCCGCGCAGGCCCTCGCGTTTGCCTTTGGCACTGGCATCATCGGCACAACCGCCCTCTACTTCGGCGTCAACCCGACCGTTGCCGCCCTGGGCGCCGCAAACATCGTGCTCTACGCCGCCGTGTACACGCCTATGAAGCGGATCTCTGTGGTCAATACGTGGGTTGGCGCTATAGTCGGTGGTATCCCGCCACTCATGGGGTGGGCCGCTGCCGCGGGCGCTGGCAGCGTCGAGGGTGCTGGCGTGTGGGAGAATCTTGCGCACCCGGGTGGGTGGCTATTGGCGGGACTGCTGTTTGCGTGGCAGTTCCCGCACTTCAATTCGTTGAGTTGGACGATACGTGAGGAGTATCGGGCCGCGGGGTACCAGATGATGGCGTGGAAGTATCCGAAGCTGAACGGGCGGGTGGCGTTGAGGTACAGTTTGTTGTTTTTCCCCATCTGTGTGGGGTTGTGGATGGCGGGGGTTGTGGACGTGGGGTTTGTGGTGGATAGTTCGGTGGTAAATGGGTGGTTGGTGAGGGAGGCGTGGAGGTTTTATAAGAAGGCCGGAGAGGGCGGAACGGCGAAGAAGTTGTTTTGGGCGAGTGTGTGGCATCTGCCAGTGGTGATGGGGCTGGCGATGGTGCATAAGGCGGGCTTGTGGAGGGGCGTGTGGGAGTGGGCGGTGGGCAGGGAGGAGGAGGACGAGTATGAGTATGAGGACGAGGAAGAGGAGCAGCAGGCGGCGGCGGCGGCGGCCGTGAGGACTAAGTGAGGTGTAGATGACCTCTTATTTTTTTGTAAATAGAAATAAAATAGAGTAGGGGGTAGACCGACTTTTACTAGTGAATAACATATACTGGTTTTATACCAATCATTTAGCAAACCTATCAGTATGCCGGCCACCAATATATAAAACCAAGTTGTCCGGTCAGACTGATAGTATTCTATCTTTTCGAATCCAACTTCCAAATATCATTTCCAGGGTATACTTAATTCGCAACCACAGCCTGCCCAGATTGTGATCTAGTGCCCCAGAATTCCAAAACCTTGATAAGGCACCATTGTATCGTGAAATTGGGAGGGGCGACCCTGCGCGATATAATTCCAAAGCTCACCAGAGCATGATCTCTTCCTGGGGTTCAAGTATAGATATAGGTTGAATCCTCCTCTATCTAAAAAGTGCACCTAGTCCGCAGGGACTCGAAACCTTCTTCTCCAGCTGCCGTAGCCAGCACATTCATCCCAGTGCCATAAAGCATGCGATATGGTACTACCACTTCGCTGCCCATGTAGTAGAGTGGTCGAGAACCCAAACCAACTCGTACACATGGATGATGAGTATCTGTGATTAAAGGTTGTAGAGATACTTTAAACACCCTAATTTTAGTGGTCGTTCCAGATATCTGTTTATGTGTGTGTGACTCGCCAGGCTTGAAAGAGAAGCTATACGACGGCAAAGAAGCTGCTTATCCCCATATGAAATCTCCACAAACTCCCTACCACCAGCCAGACCACCCCCCACTAATAGTCATAGCTGGGGCTAGACAACCAACCGCTGCCCGACTACAACTACAACCACGTAGCAGCCAAACGGCCGTGGACTCCAGGCACGACCACCTTGAAACCCATATAATTTTTGTTTTGAATCTTAGATATATAAATGTACAATCCATAACCTCCATCCTAAAGCACTATTTTTATGTAAGGAGGAGGGTTTGATTGGGTCTGCTAGGCTAGTAAAAGTCGCTGAGCGGTCTCCTGTGGTGGTTTGAGTACTGCACTTTATGCACTCCCCCTCCTGTCTGTTGCTTCTTGTTGTGCGGTCTATCGATCGACCTGTGCTGGAGATCTATTAGAAACCAAAGATTATCAGCGGAGAGAGACTTTTGGGTATACTGGTAGAGAAATTTCGAACCTAAATACAATATGTCACGTCTCCTAACTCTAGGTAGAAGCGTGATGTGAGGACTTACATTGAGACGAAACAAAAGCGGAAGCCTTCTGGGACTTTGAAGACCAAGGCCTAGTATTTGGAACATAAGTTTAAATTAATTATAATTTCGACAGCCGTAACCCGGCAGTGGTCGACGTCTGAGACTCAGTGAGTATTAATGGCCAAGATCGATGTCTATGTAATGTCTCGACCCTGGCTCTAGTCCCCGATTTTGCTCATCGTGGCTTAATTTTCCAAATAGAGTCGAGAATAGCTAGCTGTCCTGTAGCGGGGCGGCGGTTTAGGTGCTCTAATATGGCGTTGTGTGTTCCAATACAATGGCAATCACGAGACCAAGCTATTGGAAGAGAAGGAAGATGATAATATTAGCTTTTATACGACATGATTGAGGATAAAAATTTATGCCACGTACCTCTTTCTTGCCATAACTAAGACCACAGTTGGTGTATACGTAAGGTATATTATACTGACAGTCACGTATGCTGTACGAGAGTGCCTCGCCGGGTCTGCAGATGTTTCGGACGCCCCCTCCTTGATCAATTGAGTAGAGAGCTTGCTTGGAGAGTGAGAGCTGGAACGTATACGAGGCCAAGTACACGTAGTTTCCGTACGTGGTTGCGAATGTCTTCGAGAACCCATATTCCTACGCCTCCATCTCGACCTCTCGACCTTCCCCTCCTCGATCTTATCTATTACTTTCTTCAATTAAAACTATACAGACGAAGGGCATTTAACTCCCTCTCCCTCGGTAGGGGAAACTCACCACAAGCTCCCCGCGCGCGCGCGGCCAAAAACACCTGTCTCGACGAGTTTACAGCCAATCACCCCTTCCCCTCTCTCCCCCTTCTCCGTCTCCATCTGCTCTCTCTCTCTACTCAAATAAAGGTATTGCTGAGACCCATCCGTTCTTAAAAGTACCAGACACCATGTAATGAACAATGGAACTAAAGTCAGTTATTACGTAACCCCGACATATGCGATCACTCGCGGAAAATTTATCATTGACACCAACCTATTTTTTTTCCGGTTGCGTTATGTGAGGCTCTGGGCCCAGGGCGATTATTCGGTGATGTGGGGATATAAGAATGAGAATGAGTGAAGGTAGAGGCGTAGATGGGGTGTACGATGCGTGTGTTGGTGGTGGTGATGGGGTGGTCATGGTCAAGCTCCGCAGTTTAGGGTCACGATACGAGAGACACAAAACTTCGAAACATCGTCAAAGGACACGTACTGCCTCTCGCAAGTCTCGAGAGGAGAGAGGGCCCGCATGCATCAGAGTGGATAAGAACACAGTACGGGCCTGATAAGAACAGAGAGCCCGCTAGTCCCAAAGCTCCCCCAGCCTTAACCCAACTTCTCTCTCAATTCCTCTCTCTCACTAGCGTACCCCCCTCCCACAGTTCCAAATGATTCTATTCTCCTCCCTCCCTCTCTCTGGGCTTAACCCAGCCCTAACGCCCTCCCCACAGAAAAAATCCTGCCCCGCACAAATCCCCATAAAACCCCCACAAATCCACTGAGCCATCAAGCCAACCCCACCATCCCCACAATTTCCCAAAATATCGTCCATCACCATCACAAATTTCTACCCCCCACCTCCTTCAACTTCTATCATAACTATGTCCTCAAACTCTTTAATCTCCCATGAACCTACCGGGATTGACCCGAGCGCCATAAAGGACAGCCTCGAGATATACGGTGCGATTCGCACGCCGGCCCGCCCTATCCGCCGCCCTGCGGCTTTGAGTCCTGCGACTGAAGATATGCCCATTTCGGACGTTAATACACCGCAGAGGTCAACACTGGCCCGAAACAACCCATATAGTGACCACTTCCCTCATCCCGGGGACAGCACCGACCCGGCCCTGAATAATGCCACCACGTCCGGCACCGGCGTTACAACCACAATTACTGGCGGTACTACCGCTACCAACGCTGCGGCCCCCGGCCTTTTCGACGCTTTCAAGCAAGGAATGAAGGATCTAATCCAATTGCCCATCGACGCCATAAAGCTTCAAACTCACCATTGGAGATTGAAAAAAGACGCCGGTGCTATCCAAAAGGCAAGAATTGCCGAAAATAAACGTCAGCGTGAGGTTGATGCGATACTCATCAACAAGATTACCCAGGGTTCCAGCGGTGCTGACGCCGCGACTCAGTCCACGGAGAAAATTGCCCAAAAGAATGTCTCGAACGGGCCGGGCAATAAACTTGGGGAAGCCTCCACTTCTGCAACTACTGCTACCGCCACCACCACCACCACCAATACTCCCGCTGCGAGCGCCATCAAGAAAGATACTACCATGGCCAGCAACAACACCAAAGTCAGCGGCCGCCTCGACGCCGATCTCAGAGACAAAGTCAAAGCCGCAATGGCCGCAAAGAGGAAGAAGAACAACAACAACAACAACAACAACAAGACGAAGAAGAAGAATGTGTCCTTCGCGGACGAGAAGGACACCGGCGCCAAACAAGAAGAACCTAAGCGCCCCCGTACCGGCTAGTCTCCGCTTCCGCTGCGCGTAGCCCGATTCGAGTTTCCTTTTACCGGGCTTCCTTTTCCCTTTACCAGGCTTCCTTTCCTTTCCTTTAAATTCCCTTCATTTCCCTTTCCTTTTTGTCTTGTCTGGGTCTTCTTCGGCTTTCATAGTCAGTCAGCCATCCAGTCCGCTGTCTGTCTGTCTGTCTATTGGCCAAGTGGTAGTCCCTTAGTAGTAGTGTAGTGTAATAAATCTCTACATTACCAGGTCACGTCATGTTTTATCACTCGCGGCACTAGCGTCTTCTCTAGCGTCTTTATCTTCTCTAGCGTCCTTCTGTAGTGTTTTATTTATTTAGTGTGCTTTTTTTGTCATTGTACTCATCAACGCGCCGTTGGTGCAGGGGTAGCATAGTTGCCTTCCATGATTCCCGTTTTCGGATTTCACTGACAGCAACTGGGAAGGGTTCGAGTCCCTTACGGCGCATTCTTCTTTTTCTTTTTGTTCTTTATTTTATAGATTCGTTTCTTTTTGTTTTTGGTGATTCTTTTAACCAATCGGTGTTGGGCATTGGGTGGACTACTGTTTTTAATCGCTTCGCTTTGGCTATGTATATATTTAGCTCTTTGGTTTTAACTTTCTATAATCTTTGAGGCGGGGTTTCTCCATTCGGGGGTAATCGATATGCTCAGTTAATACGATCGTGCGTTCACCTAATTTATGGTCGACTTTATGAAGCCCGCGAGAGCGATAGCGATACATGTATTCATAACCCTTATGAGTGAACAGTCCAGCGAGGCCTTTATACAAAAACTACCCACCAAACGAAAGAATACGTATATTTTTTTTCAGACTTTACCTACATATTTTCGCGGAAGATATATTTACCACCAAATGACAGCAAAGTGAACTATTGTCCACAAATTTAAACACTTCTATAGTAAAGTACACGTAGCTAGGTGGTTGAATTTAATAAGTCATGAGCTCTGTGTTCTGTGATTTGGACCCTCACGAGGAATAAATAAATCTGGCTCTTCAGGTTGGTTTTAATCGACGATTTCGATTTCGATATCGATGCTTTCGATGCTTCCAAAAAATGCATCAAGGGCTGGTATGTATGTCTGTGAGAGACAAGCTCCACTTCTACACTCTAGATCTTTATCGAGACAGTACTCGATCGTGCAGGTATTACTTACATGTACTCTAGTATGGTAGCTCGGGAAATCTCTTCGGGTTAATTCTGTGTGCCGGGTACGTTAGAGCTACATGTGTTAAAGCGGGTGTAAGAATTACATATCTTGATGCGATGTATGCCTGTATTCAGCTACCGGTAATAAAAAAAAAAGGTCAAACATGAATTGCCTGTAGTGCTAGCTAGTTGAAATCCATGGTATCCGAGTCTGTAATCACTGGAAATCATGTTATATAATGCCTATTGACGGCATGCGAGTTTTTAACAGTAACCTTCGTGGTATGGATGTCTTTTGCCCTGAAATAGATTACGAGAAGACTTCTACCCATGTTGAATTCACGCAGTGCATGCTAAAACGGGCCAAGAGTGGTGAGGCAAAAAAAGACGTGTATATACGCAGGGAATTGAATACAGGAAGAAGAAAAGGAAAAAAGGAAATGGAAAAAAAAGTAAGGAAAACAAGCCCGACGAAACTTCCCAAAACCCTAACGCTAACTCCAGCATCAATTATCCCAGACCGACCACACAGTAGTACCCAGATCATATACACGTAGTCCCCCTAAGAATCGTTGCTGAAGTTGAAACAAAAAAAAAAAAAAACGTATATGGTCGTTATTGCGGGGGTGATGCGCGGGATCGATCCGTTTCCACCATTCCCGCTCGTTACTCTTCGTCCGGCTTATTCAACTCTGCCTTCTTCATTTTCGACTTCTCCAGCTCCTGGAAGTGCCTAAAGAACTTCTTCATCGGCGTATCTTTATCGCGGTACCACTCATTCCCTTGGCTTTCCGCTGAGCCTTTGTTCTCCTTTTTGCTTTCCCTTTCCTCGAGATTGGCCTTTGTCATAGCGCGTTGAGTCTCCGCCGAGAACAATCTCTCGGAGGAAGTCTTTACCCCAAAGTACTCCTTCCTTCTCCTGTCAAGGTCGTTTTTCTGGTCCGCGGTGAGCTCCTCGTAACCCGGAACATAGATATCTCGCACGCGAAGACCGGCGTAAAGTTCTGGCTTTGATTTGGGTGGAGATGGCTCAGGTGACTCCGATTCTTCATTGTCAGATATCAGGTCGATAATTTCCGGGGCCATTGCCATAGGCTCGTCATCATCATCGCTGAGAACGATATCTGGGAAGCCGGCCATAGGATCATCGTTGCTAAGCTCAAAGCTCTCTTCGAGGTCTTTCTCCTCAAAATCCCTTTTAACAGAGTCTTCCTTCATGTAGTCCTCCATCGTAAAATCCTCTTCCTCGGAATCCCCTTTCTCTTTTCTCTCTTCCTCCAAGTCCCCCTTCCCGGGAACCTTCATCCTTGATTTTGACGACGACTCAGTTAGAGGGCTTGCTGGGGCCTTGAAGTTTCTCTGCTTTTTAAAAGGAGGTAGAGTCGGGGCAAAATTGTCTTTATATGGATCAATACGTGGTTTCTTGGCTGCAATAACCTTTTTGGAGGGTGATGATTGAGTGCGCTTGCGGATATTTAACTGGTCGATACCTGAAGCCATTTCCTCATCATTAGGTCTAGACGAATGATATGGTGTTGCAGGACTTTGATCATCGGGATTTGACAAAGTATTGTTCTCAGGAGCTTTGACCTCAGGTTTCACAACTGGGCGTTCGTGCATTGAAGAATTTTCCCGCCCGGTCATACCAGCAATGTTGGGAAACTGTTTGTAACCCATGAATTCCTTCTTCTGTTTTTCAAGCATATCCGTGACACTACGGGTATTAGCCACTGCACGGATTTCTTGGGTCCCGAAATCAACCACTTTGAGAACTTTTCTCGCCTTCCTCGGGCCGGACCTGGGAACTTGTCGAGCTGCAGCAGAGTGTGACCGAATGCCATCTTCTATTCTAGTCTGGTTTTCCTCCGACGTAGCAGGCACCTCGATCTTTTGGTGCTCTTGGGCCTCGCGTATTAGTTGCTCTTGAGATCTAGCAAGGTCGTCGGGGAAACCTTTTTTGGGATCTTTTGGTTTTACGGAGGGCCAGAGAAGATCTTGTGATGATATCTGTCTTTCAGGAATAGTTACAGGCCTAGAAGTTGGGGAACTTTGAACTATTGGACTCCGAAGCTCTTGAGAAATATGTGGTTCTTCCATGTTTGTCCCCGGTATAAGCGTTAGATTAAGTCCTTCATTTGCGCATACAGAATCAATACGTGACTTTGATTTTGCAATTGTAGGACTCAAGTCTTTGCCCAAAATGCCGACTCCCTTTTTGTACGGTGTCTCTTCAACTTGAATTGATGGAGGAGTGCTGTTGATGGATGACGAAGGTAGGGCGGGGGTAACACCTTCGTCATATTTCTGGCTTTTGGAGACGTTGATCGCTTCTGGGGCGACTGAATCTAGAACTGTGCTAAGATTGTCACCTACAGTCATTGCTTCCTCATGTTAAAACACCAGATCATTATAAAATTAACTGTTCCTTTTTAATTCGAATGCTGCAGGTTAGGCACTCACTCTTGTTACCCTTGGGCTCCATCATGATCCCGGCACCATCTGCGACCTGTGAAGCATCATTTCGTTTGGGTGTCTCCGCTGGTCCCGTATGTAGGATGCCGGAGCGCGGGTATTGCAGGTCCAAGTTATCTAGAGCCTTCGCTGTACAGTTTAGTGCCGGGTTTAGCGGCATTAGCGGAGCCTGAGGAATCTCATCCTCTTCCTCATTTTCATCTGTATGGTCACCCAAATGTTCGGCCATGGGTAACTCAATTGATGATCCGGGTAAGGATTCTGGGATTTTGTCGTTTTCTCCGTCTGAGAGAAGCATGCCAGTGTGCTGTGATAAAGGAAGGGGTTCGTCAGTTATAGGGTGTTGGCTTAGTATAGGATGATCCGCTAAAAGACTATCTGGTGTAGCATTTTGTGCAGGAGCAATATGTTCGTTGTGCTGTTGGATTTCTGTTTGCTTGGCTTCTGGGCTCGGGCTGAATGATTTTGAAACAATGGCTCCTACCACCTCCTTTGTAGGCACCTCAGTTACCTTGTTCTCTTCATCTTCTGATCCCAGCTGTTTGTCCCAGGCTTCATCATCAAAGCCGCCATCATCATCATAATCAGTGTCACTTTGTGCATCCTCATTCTCATCTTCATCCTGGCGTTTCTGTGGCTGCTTTCCATTCTGTTCCCACAAATCCACCTGCTGAGCCTTTAAAATACCACCAAACACCGCGACCCGTGTCCGTCCATTTGGGTCCACCACGCCAACCGGAAGGTTGGGGTGGTTGATGAGTTCATTAATATTCTCATCTCCCGAAGAGAGATAATTTTCATCTTCTTCTGAGCGATACTCACGACGAGGGCGCTGCTTCCGAACTGCCGCCAACTTCTGTTTCTTACTGGCTTTTGCCATTCTTGAGGGTTCCTTTATTGAGTTGTTAGAAGAATTGTTACATAAAGAAGCAAATAAGTTATCTTACCACATTATTCGGATCTACCGGTGTCTTTTTCGAGATTCCATTTGCTGCGCGTGTGACGCGTTTGGCCTTAAACTCGTACTTTTCATATGTTTCGTCGGGCTGTTGAGTAGATGGGGTTACATGTTCTCCCTCGACTCCTTGTACGGATACTTGGCTAGGTTGGTTGAAACTACCATTGTTGCTTCTCACTTGGGCATCCGCAGAATTCGCTTTCTTATTCGACCTTCCAGCAAGCGGAGATTGGATACCAGAACGAAAACTGCTATCGGGTGGTACCGCGTTCATACCTCTCAAGGGGGACTTTACAGGACTAGACGGCCATGAAACTTCTGTACTGCCGGGGGAAGAGACTGGAGATCTAACGGGGGGCACAATAACTTGAATATTTGATTTACGCGGTGGATGTGATTTTGGCACAAGTTGATCTTTGGAGACGAAATCGTAACCGGAGACATGGTGCCTATTTTCGTATGGATACCAAGCTACGAAGGAATGATTAGTAAATCTCTGAAAAGACAGGTTTTTAAGTTGGGTCTTTTGATTGTGAAAATGCAAAATAATTAATTCAACACTTGGTAAGTGACATTCCATGGTGAAGAAGTAATTTGAGTACAATGATATAGTGATACAAAACTACCCCAAGATACCAACCTAGCTACATTATCTATGTAATAACAGTACCAAAGATATATATAGGAAAGACAATGACCGGTAGAATAATTCAGAAAGACACTCACATTCAGGCCGATTTAATATCTCTAGCTGATCGTCTGGAATTATAGTCTGAGATGCTGTGATTTGCTCCATTTTGTCCCAACCCAAAGACTTTTTTTTACCCTTTCTTCCTACAGCTGAACTTGACAAAGATGTAGAGAGGTCGCCTCGCTTCCGTTTGTGCCGATTGTTACTTTTTTGGGATAGATCCTTTGAATCCCCTTCCCAGCTAACGGCCGAGCTAACGAAAGGTCCCTCGGAATCAGACCCATCAGCATAATTAATAAATTTCGGTTCTGTATTGAGGCTCTTTGTCTGTTCTGCATTTTTCCTTGCATGGTGTGCATGGGGTTTCGGTATCTTTTTTTTCTTTTGAGCTGAAGACCCTAAAGACCCCCGGGTTGGGCTTTGGGGGTGGTTTGCGTCCGGTTTCTTTTTTTGACTTTTACGCTCAGGAAACCGGAGATCATCAAACGTATTCAGATGATCTGCATAGGCTTGAGTTGTGAATAGCAGCTGCGAAACGTCTTGTGAGCTGATATCGCCACTATAGACATCAGTTTGCGATCGTATTTCGAGTATTTCGTCATCTGAAATCTCGTCACCTGTTGACACCTTTGAGGACGCGGATGGCTTATTCGAACTCTTCCTTGACAAAGATATATATTCGCTCAATGAGAATTCTCTCCCAGAGCGCGCCTTCCTCGGCAGATCCGATAAAAGTGATTTGAGGTCCACTTTTGAAGACACACTCGTTGGATTCCCCCTCACGTCTGAGCATTTACCAGGAAGGAATGCAAATTCCGTGATAAAAAATATTGGTTCGGGCATAGGGAGAAATTCGGCGTCAGTATTTTTATTTCCTATTCCCGGGCCTTGTTTTATAGACTTGTCACCCATATTATTTTGGATTTCTTTTTTACCCGTTTCCCTACCCTGAGATGCTGGTTTATCCGCGATTTGGGACCGATATCTAACACCTTCCCAGAACAACTTTCCATCGACTCCAGGAAAGTAGATATCGTAGGATATGACTTTTATAATACCTCCCATGATAGTTGAGATCTTGGTGTTAGAGGAAGTCTCGTGTTTCTGTCTAGCGTCGGAGGAAACTTTGCAGGCGATTTTAACCTTCTTATCAGTCAAGACAGCAGTGCAAGGGTCCTCGGTGGGGTCAATCTATTCATCAATATTGTAGTGTTAGAGAAGACGGAGCAAACTGTGTCTGGGGAAAGAAAGAATGAAAGCTCCATGACAAAAACAATCTCAGATATCTGGGTTTTTCCCTAAGAATTTTACTTCGATGCGGTTGAACGAAAGTTATGTATGTTTGGTAATCATCATATGAAATGGCAGAGTTATATGCGGGTGAATGAGATAGGGTGGAAAGGATTTGGAAAACGTACTTCAATGACCTGTAATAACTTTCCAGTACCACCTAGGAGTCGAAGTTCTCCAGACGGCCCAATTTTATTGAGGATTTCATCATGATCAGCTTTAAGAGACTCCGGATCCACATCTCGTCTTTCAAGAGCGTCGTTTAATTTCTTGATAATGGTGCTTGATACCCAGGCTTCCCGAAGCGCACGAGCCATTTGAGATAAATCTGACGTGCTATTGCATCACACGATGCTGTAGTTGATTGTTATAGCGGTAGTAGAGCTCTTACTTGGTGATTGTCGCGTCGTCCGTCGTCTCACCTGAATCCTGGGCATGCCCACGCGTTATAATTAGCTCACTTTGAGATAACGACGAGACGCGCTACCTGAGGCTACATGTAGGCACCTACAGACTACATGTACTCTACTACTACTAGAGTAAAATAAACAACACCATATACCCAGCACCGGCAATTAGGCGGTATTGTTTTAGAAAACTTAAGAACATGTAGAGTATGTTTTCTGGGAAGCACATCAGTCAAGACAATGATCCTATGATCTTGATTAAGGCGCCTAAAGCACGTGTGCTTAGCGCAGGGTTTACTTGTGTGATTATGTCAGCTCGACATCAAAAAGCAAGCTTTTGAATAGCAAGGAGCCGTCATGTGCAACTCAATCTACAATCCAATAGATAGCTGCCGTGGGATAACAGTACGTGATTCGCCTTGCAGAGGCCTGAACTGTCATGGTACAGGCATTTTCTACCTTACCTACTCGAGCAACGTACGTTCCAGAACCATATTTCTGTCCCACTACCTATCAGTTCCATACATCAACAACTCAAAATCCTCTTTCTGCGAGTCGGTAGTTCAGTGACTCCCAAAGTTCTACTCCAGTTCTAACAGCCTAGTTGTCTTTGTCACGGGTTTATTATACAGAGGAACCTTGTGCATCGTGAGATACTGCGGATTCTAAACCCGTGCCGCGACTTGCTTAATCCATCAAACAGCGGTCAAGTGAGCTTGCCTACCCCACTTCTCACCTATACCCAAACTTATATGCTCTTCGCCTCCGAAGCAACCCCGTTATAAGATCTGTTTATTCGTACTGTGGCTACAAAAAGCGATTTGAACCCGGGTTTGAAATGTTTTCCTTTCGGCGGGCAGAGGCGGACCCCCAATCAGCCTCAGCTATCCCGGACCATGTTATAGAACGCCCACGACGTGGCTCGGTGATGTCGCTCTCGCAAACTTTATATTCTCTTGACTCCACGCCTCCGCCGCCAGCAGATTTAGAACAAATCCACGCCTCCTCGTCTCAAGCTCCTGGGCTTACATCGTTCTCACTCGCATCCCCACCCAGCGGTTCCACAGAACAGCTCTCATTCAATAATCTATACTCGCGAGTCAAACGTGTTGCTTCAGCAGTCAGGGATGTTGTTAGTGTTCCAGTGCGAGATGGAGCTTCGAGGATGTCACTTGGCTCGATAGGCAGCGACAGGTATCAAGGACATGCAGATAGCAGAGACTCGTTCATGTCTTCAGCGACAATTGATTCTGAGGATTCGAACTACCCAGTGCTACCCACATCACATTTATCACCTATAAAATCTCAATTTGGCAAACATTCGAGGATCACCTCTTCATCCTCTCTCCAGTCATCCTCTAGAGTATCAAGTAACAACTCCATGGCGAGCACTGCCATCGCCGGGGATTATGCTCCCCCGGCTGCATTGAGGAAAGTTAATCTTCGTGCCTCAAATTCAGGAGCTCCCGTCCCCTCATTGGCTCCAATAACTGTATTCAGAGATGGGGATGGTTCTGAATTTGTTTCCCTCACTAGTCCTGGGCTAGGTGTGAAAGGGATGTCAGATGTCAGTCGAAAAGATAATGAGGCCAACCTTCAAAACTCGGCGAAAGAGAAAGCAGCGGGGGTTCAAAGGACAACTGTGAATGCGCTACTCGGAGCAGCTGGAACGGTAGTAGGTGGGACGGTTGGATACCCGCCTTTACCGGTAAGTAAAACAGTTGAGGATGAAAGTGGTGCCCGAGCAGAGAATGATGAAGAGTCCAACAGCTCGGCATCAGAGGAGGATGGGGGGGCTATTAGTGATAGTAGTGACGATGATATTGTTTTGCTGAACTCCAGGCTACCAGGCGGTCACGAAGGTGGCAAAATCGGAACCTATGGCAGTAAGGCAATAAAGGTTGCTGGACCTTCCTCTGAGAACCAGCCAGTTTCAGTCCAAAGATCAAGTAAAGACATACCTGCACCACTCAATATTAATAATTCCAATCATTTGCCCCCTTCCACGACCGGTAGCGATGTAGCTAGCAGAACGTCATTAGAGTCAAACGCTGCCTCATTTGTAAACAACCGTCTTCAATCCCCGGGCACAAGTCCATCCGCTATGAATTTACCACCAAAGGGTGACAAAAGTTCGCCATCCTCAAATCAACAAAATTTCCCTGGAAAGCTTTCCCTGCCACCACCAAATTCTCCCATGGCTGGAAGCGGAGAAACTGCCAGAAAGCAAAGACCAACAGTATCAAGAATCAGCACAGATCAAGCCAGTCTACTTCCAGGGTTCTCTGTTACTCGTGATGCAAGCTCAGAGTCAGGATCCAGTCAGGACGCGACTTCAACGGCAGATGTTGGGAAACATAGTGGGGGCTCTTCAATGTATCAATATAGAGAAGGGTTTCAAGATGGAATGGTCAACGGGGGGAACACAGGCCCAAATGGGGGTGTGGGAACAGGAAATTCAGAAGCTGTCAGCCAAGCTTTGAGACAACTTAGAATGGGTAATCTAACTAGCGACTTTTGGATGAAAGATGAGCTCTGCAAGGAATGCTTCTTATGCGCGAATACTTTTGGAGTTTTTCGAAGGAAACACCATTGCCGTAAGTTACTGCTCGGTTTACTTTTGGAGAATTTCCCTTTACTCTTCTATCTTATTCTATTTTTATTTACAATATTCAAAACATCACTGACCGTAGTTTTGTTTGGTAGGGCTTTGCGGTCAAATATTTTGTTCGAAGTGCACTACCTTGATATCTGGGGACAGGTTTCAACATCAAGGATCTATGCGAGTCTGTAGTCCATGTCTTGAGATTGTCAACGAGTATCAAGACGAATCAGAATCAGAGGACGATTTCTCACCAGCATCCGTTTTCCACATCCACCAGCCCATCGATCAACGGCACGAAATGCAGTCTGGTCCTGGGAGTGTAGTCGGTACCCCAATAGGAGGACCTATGACACCTGGTTTCAGCATGCCTAGAGAGTCACGTCCCGCAACTACGCCGTTAATGGCAATCCCAGCATCCAGAATCACTGCTGGAAGCAATCCAAATAGACGTTCTCAGATCCTGGAAATAAACGCTGAGATACCATCACCCCCTCGGCCCCCCTCCTCACGATCTGGAAAGTCACCCATGTCGTTTTCTAGACCACTCACTGCAAATGCTTTGAAGCTCCCTCAACATGGCCACTCACATTCCCATTCACATCACCACCATCACAAACACCAACATTCCCGCTCGCATCGATGGTTCCCGGCCGCAAACGCAAACGAACGGGCGCCTTTCCACCGAAACGTGGCTGACGAACTCGGGTCACAGGGAGCCCTCCCCGCGTTTCATTCAGATAGCATCATCGATCCAGATTTGGCGCCTTATATGAGTGATGATGCTAGCGACGATGAACAAATGAGCATATTTGCAACGATCGCACCCAAATATGGAGAGGCATTTGGGAATCTGTTTTCAACTTCTGCCACTGGTTCACAGAGTGGTCAGGCCGGAGGCATCTCTTTGGGGTTAAACGGGGCTACTTCTACAATGTCAAAGATCAGAAGAGCTGCTAGTATTAATGGAATCAATGCGCTTTTGAATGCCGGTGGTAGTGATAATGGCAAGTCCGGGTTACTGCCCCCCACTAGATCATCTAGGAAACGCAACTCGAGTTTCCTTGGAAATATTCAACCCCGACCAGTTACCAGAGGAAAGGGACACCGCAATCTCATGCGATCGCTAGTGGGGAGTGTCAGCGATGCGTCCGCATTTGGTGGGGCTGGGAGCAGTGCCATGCCTTCTCCTCGCGCCTCAAGAAGTGCATCCATGCGAGGACCTCTAGCACCATCTATCGAGCTCAACACAGCGAGCCTGCAACATGTTCGAACCCTGCTTCGCCAGTTACTTGGTGATGCGAACATCAAGGAAGTCGACAAATGGGAGCGGGCACTCATGCCAATTCTACTCAAAAGCACCGATGATTTGAACCCCGACATCCGCAGTGGTGACATTATCGATATTCGCCACTATGTCAAGGTCAAGAAAATTCCTGGTGGAAAACCTGGCGATACAACTTATGTTTCTGGTGTCGTGTTTACCAAGAATTTGGCGTTAAAGAGTATGCCACGGAACATAGCACATCCAAGAATAGTCGTTGTCACCTTCCCGATCGAGTACCAGCGACACCAACAGCAGCTCATGAGTCTCGAGCCAGTTATTGCACAAGAGAAAGACTATCTTCAGAAAATGGTTGCTCGTATAACTTCTCTAAGGCCAACGCTGCTTCTTGTTGAGAAAAACATCTCCGGTGTTGCTCTCCAACTTCTCGCGCAGGCTAATGTAGCAACAACACATCTTGTAAAGCCATCAGTAATCGAAGCTGTGGCTAGATGTGCTGGTGCAGACATTTGTTCGTCGGTTGACAAGCTACTACTTCATAATTTCCGAGTCGGCCGGTGTGCTTCCTTTGACGTCAAGACATTTGTGCATGAGGACATACCAGAAAAGAAGAAGACATTTATGTACCTTTCCGGTTGTCCAAAGGAGCTCGGCTGTACAATTGTGTTGAGGGGAGGTGATATGGAAACGCTGGCAGTCCTCAAGCAAATTACGGAGATGATGATTTATGTCGTTTACAACTTAAAACTTGAGACTTGCTTAATGCGAGATGAGTTTGTGAATATTCCCTCAAGTTCTTCCATTGCGCCTGCGCCAACAGCGGTTCCTACAGCTGCCCCGCAAACTGACGTACCAACTGCTGCTTTCGACGACCCAGAGAAAACGCTCTCGACCGAAGATGGCCAAGAAAACCTGGCTGCATCTGAAAATCAGGAGAAGTCGCCAAATTCCGGATCGGAAGAGTCTGAGCGTATGGCAGGTGGAGTGCCAGATGATATTCCCAGCCCAACTTACTATGAAGATATGGTGAAAAATCACGAGACAAAGGTTCTTTCTGCATCACCCTTTGTTAAGTACATGCAGCCATATCTTTTAATGCGAGCGAGGGAACTCGAAAGAAAATTGGTGTATCTGAAGAGACTAAGAGATAGTCAAGTGGTTGAAGATGACGAACCAACGGAGTTTGGGTCTGACGGTAGGGTTGGGGAGTTGGAGGAACATGTTGAAAACGAGAAATCCGCCGATCCAGATAAACCCGTGGAAAAGTTTGAGTTGATTCAGCCAGAGATGGTCGATGCAAATGTTAAGAATGGAACCAAAAAGATGGTAGAGGTACTGCGAGCAATCCACGATGCAGAATACGACAAAGCACTTCATGTCTATGAAACCCAGAAAAAACAGTGGGAGAATTACTTATCCCAGTATGACGATCTGTTTGATCCCTACGCTCATCAGAATATCGCCATACTATACAGTTTGGTGTGCACATTAACCACTGTTCCCTGTGAAGGGCCAGAACTTCGCAGGTTAGAGTTTTATTTCCAAGGCATGGATTGGCCACTCGGTAAATCAGATTGTACCCTGGGACAGTATGTTGAACTTCTCTGCGACACTGCGAATAAACGATGCGAATCGGATACCTGCGACAAGAAGATGATTGATCACCACCGATCTTATGTCCACGGTCAAGCTCGGGTCAGTGTCCTAGTAAGCGACAAAATGGCATGCCCTATCCAGGGCATGCAGGATACAATTCTCATGTGGAGTTACTGTAAAGTATGTCCGAATACTAATACTCCCGCCATCCCAATGTCTGAGAGCACCTGGAAATACTCATTCGGCAAATACCTTGAGCTTGCTTTCTGGAGTTCCGAAATGAAATTGAGGGCAGGGAATTGTCCACACGATTTGAACCGCGATCACGTTAGGTGTTTTGGCTATAGAGGCTTAACAGTGGTTTTCCAATATGATCCCATTGATTTGCTAGAGATCGTCGTCCCTCGCACGAAAATCACGTATAAGCCAGAGATCGACCTACGGATTAAGAACGAGCAGTATTTGCAGCATGAAGAAAGGACAGACCGTTTCTTCTCGTCGGTAAAGTCTCGCCTAAAGAGTATCAATATAGACTCTGTGGCCGCCGATAAAATCGATGCTTGCAAAGCAGAAATCGAAACGCTCACAACCCAAGCAGAAAATGAGCATAGCTGGCTGATCAAAAAACTTCAAGAAAAGTACAACAAGTCCAAGTACTTCGAGATCATACCGCTTAATAGGGCTCTGCGAGCTTTGCAAGAAAGAGTGGTCGACTGGGATGCAAGGTTCAATGCCTTCGATAACAACTACTTTCCGTCAGAAAAGGATATCCGCAGATTGGCAACACTCCAACTCAAGAAGATATTTATCGACAACCCTTCTACGCCTAACCTACAACCCGGTGAACGTACACCAACGCCTGAAAAGGAAGATATTGGTAAAGCTACTTCTATTGTAGATGGGTCTGCAGAAGTGGTCACCTCTCCGACCGAGATGTCGTCAAAGCAGGCACACGATGTTCTTGCGTCAGTCGTTGAGGAGGATATCGAGAATAGTAAAGGGAAGTCTGCTAAGAATGAAAAGGAGGACAGTACGGAAGATAACGAGGATACGTCTAGTATAACTACTGTCACTCCGGAGCCGATTTCTGGCCAGGGGGAGCTCGGCCAATCTGAAAATATGGATCACTTGACTCCCAGGCAGGAAACCCCTCTTGAGCAAGCAGCTCTAAAGACCGTATCACCGGAACCATCCGCGCCGAATAGCCCCATAGCCCCTATCCATCCGAAGATCAGGTCTAGCCCAGCACTTGTAGAATCAGAAGGGGCGAAATCAGATGACGATACCCCAGGCCAACCCGCAAAGAACTCTGGTCCCAGGGCATCCTTTGAGGATTCCAGGGTATCCTTTGATGGCCCCAGGGCATCCTTTGAGAGTCCTCGGACATCCCTTGAGGGCTCTCGGAGGTCTCTTGAGGGCTCTCGAAAATCACTTGAGGGTCCCAGAACATCTCTTGAGCGACTATCTTCAGAGCGTGAGCGACCCACTAACCACATGTCATCAATTCCGAGGTTTGTAGATGCAAGGCGAAAGCTTGTAGCACCTCCACTCAATAGGACGCAATCTACCCCACATGTACCTCAACGAAAGGGTTCGGATGGAGTCCCGTCGGGACTGAGGCCTCTAACTCATACACCATCATTCCCCCTCAAGAAACCCTCGGTGACTGAGGCTATTCGGAAGCATAATGCGGAAAAGGCAAAGTCTGGTAAGGGGCCGGAAAAGTTTCGCTTCGCTTCACTAAACAAGAAACCTCCTCAATTGAGGGACACGCAGATTCCTCGTTCAGTTCCGACACCAAGACGCAAAGACACCAAGGTCACGGCGATAGCGAAACAAATAAAACAGCTCGAACAACTCAGTAGGGAGTTTGAGAAAGAGAGGGTAAGAGAGAAACGTCTCTCTGCCGCTAAGAGGACCAGGGCACTTCCGGTAGCGACTTCTAGGCCCATAGTCGAAGTTTACCGTAACGTCGCGGAAGCCGTTGAAGAGGTTTCCGATGAGGAACCTCCTGAGCCCATGCCCCCTAGTCGGGAAACCAGTAATATGACTATAAGCACGGAATCAGCAATTCAAACTGAGTCTCCGGAGGAGTTTTCTCCTCCTGCAATCACGATGACCCCCGAACCTGTTGAGGAGCAGATTGAGGAGTATCATGCACAACCGAATCAAATGATCCAATCTGATGCGGACATGAGTGATGGTGAAATATCCTTTTCGAGTGATCATGAAGCCAATATCCAGCCACCTATTATAGACGTGCTTCCGCCAAATCCAGATACACCTCTAATCCAGAAGCATGAGAAATCAGCCTGGACAAAAATGCTCTCAAATTTCTGGGCTGAGCGGTCTGCAAGTGGATGGTCTTCACTTGAGTACCCACTGTACGTCCTCTAATGGAAATATTTTACCCTAAGTTGGCAATGCTAACTTTACAAATACAGTCATCCGACAGATCATGTTTTCAACGACTCTGATGTTATTGTCCGTGAAGATGAACCTAGCTCTCTCATTGCGTTTGCTCTCAACTGTGAGGATTATGCCACCAAGCTTGATGCCATTCGTAGCGCGGATGAAGGGCCAACGAGCTCAGAGGACTGTGCTCGTCCAACTGCATTTAATGTAGATGAACATCCTGAGCTTGAAAGGTCACTACTCAGAACCACTGGAACACATCTCAAATACCGTGCGTTTCACTTTCTCCCGTCATTCTATTCGAACCAATACTAATACCATTTTATGTAACAGAGTTTCAAGAGGGTTCGGCTAAGATGTTCTGCAAAATCTTTTTCGCAGAACAGTTTGATGCGCTGAGAAGAAACTGCGGTGTTGCTGATCGATACGTTGAGTCTTTGTCGCGATGTATCAAATGGGATTCTAAAGGAGGAAAAACCAAGTCCGTTTTCCTGAAGACCCAGGACGAGCGGTTCGTGTTGAAGGCCTTGGCGCCAATTGAGACGGCCGCGTTCATCAAATTTGCACCTGCATATTTCCAGTTCATGGCAGAAGCATTTTTCCACGAGGTGAGTTTTGGTTGCGGTGCGCACAGACGAGTGATGGTTACTGATGAGCGAATTAGCTTCCAACTGTTATTGCCAAGATGTTGGGATTCTACCAGATCATGATCAAGAACCCGACAACGGGAATAGAAATCAAATGGGACGTTTTAGTGATGGAGAACCTTTTCTATGACCGCAAGACTACGAGGGTAAGCAAGATATCAAAAAGAAAAGAAAAACCTGTTTACTAGCCAATCACTGACTTTCTTGTCTTAGATTTTTGATCTCAAAGGTTCTATGCGCAATCGATACACGCAGTCAACTGGCGATCAGAATGAGGTTCTCCTCGATGAGAACATGATAGAATTCATATACGAGTCGCCACTGTTTGTCAGAGAACATTCCAAGAAGCTACTTCGAGCATCTCTGTGGAACGATACTTTGTTCTTATCGAGGCAGAATGTGATGGACTACTCACTAATGATTGGAATCGACGAGGTCAGGAAAGAGCTTTGCGTTGGCATCATTGGTGCGTATAACCCACTTTCTGCAAGAAGCCTTAATCATGCTCGGCAGCCTTGTCTGACAGCTACGCTAGACTGCATACGTACCTTTACGTGGGACAAGAAGCTTGAGAGCTGGGTGAAGGAAAAGGGTTTCGCAGGCGGTGGAAACAAAAAGCCAACTGTCACCAGTCCTCGAGAGTACAAACATCGCTTCCGTGAGGCTATGGAACGATATGTTCTAGAAGCGCCAAGGTTTGCCTGTTCCTAAGAAGTGTTGTTTATATTAAATTGTGCGCGAGGCTCACCGGGTGGCAAATGCATTACATAGCTGTTGGCACTTGTTTCCCACAAATTACATAGGGGCGATTCCTGTTCGGCTTCATCACCCACCACAGCAAACTTCGGGCATAGAAGATAATAATAATAACAACATTAACGAGGATAACATTAATAATTAGCTAACTAACGGGAGCTTAAGGGATGGAATTCATTTTATTTATATATTTTCCGGGGCTAAATAATAGGGCGAACGAAATCTTGTTTGGCTCATGAAAAAGGGAAATGAGGGGAAGGGAGGGGACTAATATCCTATTGTATTCTATTATTTCCATGTTTTATTTGTTTTGTTTTTGTTTTGTAAAAACCTGGCGTTGGGATAATAAGGCGTGGGGGGAAACATTTGTATTGGGGTTTTTTCTTGCTTCTAACGAATGGAACGACAAATATTATGACAATGCAATGTGGACGGTATGAGGCTCCAGCCGCTGCTAGATACATACCCTTCTCAAAACGAAAGAATGCTATTCTCATCAAAATCCATCACTGCCGTGATTGCATACATAATATGATGACCCGAAATAAGTGAGTGATGAGTGAGCATGAGCTTCAGCTCTCTCTCTCTTCAGCTGCGTTGTTGTACTGCTGTCGTTGGCGCCTAACCAAGCCCGCACAGCCACGCTGCGGCGGACCCTTACAGTAAGCGCACGACTACGCCCCAACCACGTCAAAGCTGTCGAGAGCGCACCGCACTTGCCTCGGTGCGAATAAAACAAAAAAACCAGATCCCCCCGTTCCCTCACCAAGATCTAAGAACTCAGGGGGTGAGATGAGGGGAGGAGCGAAGGAAGGAAAAGGGCGGTTTCTGTTTCATACAGCCTCGACAGCACGCGAAGTGCGATATGATCGCAGCTGCAAGGTACGGACGGTACGGTACATTATCCACCATCTCGTTGTCTAGACTGTGGCAGGCTGGGCGCGCTGTGGCTGTGGCTGTGATGGTGATGTGAATAATAAAGGGAAAGGGAAAGGCTAGGGCGCGGGAGGTAGCCAGCAGAGTTGAGTTAAGGCTGGCCTATGGCTGTTGGCAGCTACCTACCGTACCACGGCATGGGTACAGGCAGACAAGACAAGACAGACCAGACGTTATGAGAACATTGCCACAGCCGTAAATGGGTGTTTCCAAACTGAGTTGATCTGGTAAATCTCCGGATTTGGACATTGAATGGAGGTGTTCTTGCGATTACGCTCACCCACTTCTCCCCCCCACCATGGCCCCCCTTCGCACTCGTGAAGAGGTTCGCACCCATCGCCCAGATAGGCCACTAAGCCCCCCTCCTAGGCCTCCGTGCGTAAGGGGGAAAGAAAACATGGCAGATGCTGCTGAGGAGGATGATATAAGAGGCGTAGTCAGTAAAAAGCTTGGATTGAGATAAAAACAAGCCTTCACCCACTATCACTCTGACTCTTCAGCAGGATCAGCATCAGCATCAGCATCAGCATCAGAATCAGAAACATATAATAAGATCATACCACCACCACCACCACCACTACCGCTTGTCCCATTGAGTCTAGCAGCAAGCTTCTTTAAGTCTTAAAAGCCTCCTACCGCCCTACTTCAAAGACATCCTTTTTGATATCAGCTACTGTTCTCTCGTCAGCACTAGCCATTACTTCTTCTGCCACTGTCAGCATTAGCTACTAGTCACCACCACCACCATTACTACTACCATCTCCTCTTCATACCATCCTACATCTAGAGCTTCACACTAGCTAGCTATCTGCACATCTACTACTGCACCGTCAGCAACCCCCAACATCAAGTAAACCAAAACCAAAGCCCCACAAACCAAACCTCACAATGCCTTCCGTCCCCGTCGTCATCACCCAATCCCTCCCCACCCCCTACGCTGCCTCCTCCGTTGCCCCCAACAGCGTCAACTCGAGCACCTTCCTCAGCAGCACCTCCGGCCGCTCCTCCTACATCTCTAGCACAGCTAGTAGCTCCTCTGCCGGTAGCTACCACGCCCACACCTCCGCGACCCGTCCGCCGCAGGTGACGGCGCAGACGCCCTATGTCAAGAAGGAGTTTATTCATACCGGCCGCCCACAGGGCGGGAACCCCCACGGCGGCCCGAGCCAGAACATGGAGGGCTACGAGCGCGTGAGCAGGGGAAATGTCACGGTGCACAACACGGGCGGACAGGCGAGGGGCTTGAATTCGGTCAAGTTGGGTGTTGAGAATGGGAATGATGAGAGGCACACCAAGGAGTGCAGGGAGTTGTCGAGGTATAGTGACAACCTGGGGTTGTGCTTTTGCCCGCCGAGCGGGAATTAAGGTGGGAGTTTGAGGTTGTGGTGAGGTGGATCAGCGGAGTGTATTTTTTGACGGTTGTATTTTAGAGTTTTTTTTCTCATTCTTTTTTCTTTGTGGGTTGGATTTGGCTTTTTTTTTCTTTTTTTTCTTCTTGGGTTAGGTTTTTTAATGGTTCCTGGATGATTCGTGTTAGCGCTTTTGTTTTTTGGCATTTTTGATCATTTCTCTTTCTTCATTTTACCTTTTTATCTGTTTCATCTTTCTTCTTTTTTTTTCTTTGCGTTTACTTCTTCTTCGGTTGATTAGGAAAAGGAGTACTTGCCTTGTTCTTTTTTTAATCTATATCTTTTATCCTTTTTTATCTCTATCGCATCGTTTCCAATTGCAATAGTAACTTCCCCCACCTCATCTCACTTTACGCCTCCCCATTTATAGAGCACGATACGTCCATGCAATCTGAATACGAGGTCTATCCTCTCAAAAACTGTAACAAAAACTCCAAGTCCAAGTCTGTATTCCAATTAGCACATAGTAGCAATACGTGGTGACGCCAATGGAACAACCAACTAACACCTCAGCCTAGCAACAGCAATTGCACTTAGCCCATCGTCCTTTTCCCGCCTTGCCGTCGTTCATAATTAGTCTCGCCCGTTTCCCTCCCTTCCTCCCTCTCGCCCCGTTTTCCGTTGCCTCGATCGCAGAAGTGAAGTGAAGTTCGGGAGTGAAGTTTTCGGTCAGTCGGTTACCGGGTTGTCACGCAGCGGGTGGTAATGATCGCGAGGCAGGAAAAGTGAAATGTGCTGACACAGCCTTGCGAGTGATGATGGCGAAAGTGGTTTTGAGTGGGTGTGAGTGAGTGATTGGTGAGTGAGTGATGTGGGAGTGGTGCTGTGGTTGGTAGTATGGGGATAAAAAGTGTAAGAAAAGGGGAATTGCTACGAAGAGGAAATACCGTGACGAAACTCCGCGACATGACAGGTCCACATCCTCAACAAGAACACCTCTGCGATACATGAGATATTTGGAATAAACATAATGCAATGGGGATACATCGGATCCTCATTCTCATATATCAGAATAACAATAATTCCCCAACGCCGTGGACATGCACGGCATGAAACAACCTTATGATCATAAAAGATAGACAAAAAAATAGACAAAAAGTTCGATTCGATTCAGACAGAGATTTGCTTTACGTACTTGCATCTCTTCCATGTCACTGTGCCCCAATGCAAATCTCTCTTTCCCTCCCCTCCATCCTCTCCCCCATTCTTCATCGACCGGGTGAAATCCCAAAAACCGAGTGACATCCTCATGACCAAAGTCCCAAGGCCCAAAGCCAGGACCAATAAGCACCTACCAAGTACCCGTTCCCCCAACCACTCAGTTACCGTCCAAGCCTCAGAAGACCCAAGACCAACCCCCTTATACATATACCCCTTTCCTTTCACACCCACTCTCTCTCACCTGGCCAGCCAAGACCGGCCGAGAGCAAAATGTCGCCAGCCAGCTCATTTATACTTTTCCGCTAATCATAACCAAAGACGGATATATGACTAGCTAGGAGAGGGGCCGGGATGGCCTCTCGCTCGCATAATTAAGGACCTTGCACTAGTAGAGGACAGTGCCTTCCCCGCGGTGTTGGGCCTGGTAATTACTTTCCTCAGATGGTAGAGTAAGGCAAGACAGCTTCATGGCTCTCACATGGATTTTTTATGTAGCAGTAGCATAGGAAGCCAAGGACAAGACAAGACAACGTTAACGTTAATTAACGTTGGATTCATGATCAAGCACCTTCCCCACGTCCGTGTCCGACGACGTGCTTGTCGATTCTGATCAAGCACAAGCACAAGACAAGACAAGACAAGACATAGCTACCACTATCTCTACCTCTAACTCTATGATACCGGTGAGCAGGTAGAATAGAGCACAACAAAGCACATCTCTCACGGCCCTCTGTCTCATTTATACCTACCACCCTACCACCCTACCTTATCTATCCCAGTGAGAGTAGACTAGTCGCCTACTCTATTTCCCCACGTTCCCGTATTGCCCCGCGCGGTATATCCGCCCCTCCCCGCGGGCCAGATACTGTATGCATAGTAGTAGCTATACATTTCCCCACGAAACGACTATCATGGCCTAGATGACTCTAAAGCAGAGTAGAGAGAGTGCTCTATCTGTATTTTTTTCCCCACAGCGAGATCTGGGGATTTCGCTACCTGTAGTTTAGAGTAGAGTCAGATCAGTGACTATCATGATCACCGTCTAGCTAGTTAACTAGTTAATTAGTTAACAAGATGTCCATACTCAAATTTTGAATTCCCCACGATCCAGTCCGTTGGCAATTAAACACCCAATTAAACCCTACCCACCTTCCCTCTCACTATTTCGCCCTATTTCTCTACCCACAAGTGTGCCACCACCACCGTTCACCACCCACTCACCACCACACTCACTCACTCACTCACTCACTCACTCACTCACTCACTCACTCACTCACTCACTCACTCACTCACTCACTCACTCACTCAGCCAAACCCTCGGCAGCCCATTATCGTCCTTCTCCCAAGCCTCGGCTTCGGAACTAAGTATTTCCTTCCTTCCACTCATCCATCCTCCTCCCCTCTCGCCTTATCCGTCGCCCATTGATCCGCTCGATCGTGTACCTGCCAATGATACGGACAAAAGGGCCCATCTCATCGGACGAGCGGGCGGGCGCTGTGGGTGGCGTTATCTCCCATTTCTTTTCGTTTCGTTTTTTTAGCGTTCTTGGTGTGCTTGGTGTGCTTGGTGTGCTTGGTGTGCTTGGTGTGCTTGGTGTATGTATGGTGGCCTGAAGACTGAAGAACCAAGAGTGGGCGGCCGGGTGGTGGTGGGCGTACCTTGGTTGCCGTTGCTTGGATGGCTGGGCGGGTGCTGTCAATGATGGGACTGAGACATGCTCTGTAGAGAGTGGGATTGGGAGAATTAAGCTCTTGGTAAAAGATCGTAGAATAGTAGAGCTTAATTGCAAGTAAACCCCATAGCACTTAAGTTGTTGTCTCCGCAGTCACCATAGCCAGCCTAGTTAGGCTTGTAGTCAATTGCAAACCACCTCCAGAATCGCGCATACAGCTACGTTATCCAGCCTGCATCCATCCTCCAAGCCTTATGCGCCCTCCAAGCCTTCTTCCTGCCCTCCAAACATCAGACGAAGTCTCGACGGCAGTAACCGAATTTAAATACTCCCACCACCACCCACCGCCCTACCCTACCAAACGCACGGTCCGGATGGCGGGGTGGAAACTGCGCTGCCTACTTACAGGGGGTTCAAAACGAGCCGCACGCCATCTCTCTAGGATATATTAGGGTTAGGGGTGGCATTGTCAGCTAGGTTTGTTTGTAGGTGCAGTAGAGTTAGTAGGAGGAGGAAGGAGGCATTAGTTTTGTTTCAAAACAACCCAACAGAAAACTGGACCGATCTGAGTAAGTGGAATACCCGTGCGGGGGGTAGTAAGGTAAGGTTAGTAGTAGCTGGGAGGGAAGGATTAAGAGAAGTTAGAGTAGAAAAGTAATCTAGATAGCGAGGTTTCTGATAGGATAGGGTAGGTAGGGTCGAATCGAATCGAATCAGTGCACGGTCGCTGGCTGGGTAAAATACCATAACTACATAAAAATAAAATCTCTTTTTTTCCGAAATTTAAGACTCCCATCATGGACTGGACTGGACTGGATTGGACTGGATGGATGGATGGATGGATGGATGGATGGTTGGATGGATGGATGGATGGAGGGTTTATTTACGCTACCGAGTTGAGGGTTTAGTCTAAGATTTGCACACTCTTCATTCGGTTTCATCAAAATATGCAATGTGCAGGCAGGCAGATTAGAGTAGAGTACATACGAGTCAAACATGAAGAGTAATCCAACCTCGATTATAATTCAATCTCCAATATAATATCGCGGCATGCAATATATCAGCTAGCTAGTAGGCACTCTATCTATCAACCACGTCCAGTACCAGATCGAGATATAACCTACCCTACCCTAGCTTCCCCTACCGCCAAACACCATACTAGAATCCAGCACTGCATCCCTCCCCAACATCATACCATTCGGTCCATACCTACCGCCGCGCCGCCCCTCTGCATCTCAAAACGGGTAATTCACACTCGTCCCTAGCATACCCTACCCTACCCTAGCTGACAGGTGCAGGTGCGGTGTTCTCCGGAAGAGACTCTTCCCCGGGCGCCGAAGGTGACGGCAGATACTATCGGTACGCTGCAATATGATCCACCACCTACCACCACCTACCGCCTACCTACCCAGCCAGCTCCCTCAAAATACAAAATTAATGAATACAGAATACAGTAGTTACGATGGTGGTGGCGGCTAAAGGAGAAACAGTAAAGGAGGCAACAAAGTTACGTACCTACGACGTTTCGAGTACAGTAGCAGGAATTGAGGTCCTGTTCTGTCTTGTGGTAGTGAGCGCTCGTAGGTATTACATACGCCATGACAGGCAGGCAGCGGCCACAACGTCGTCCTGTTTCAGACTGACAGAAAATCCAGACCAAGACGACCGAGGCACGACTTCGACCTCGCCAAAAAAAAAAGTCAATGCGAAGAGGAGGAAAAAACGCAATAACAATCGCAATTGTAATTACCCGATACCTCGACTCAATTGCTTAAGCCTGGGGTAAAGGTAATTGAAAGCACATACCTGCGCTCATACAATACACTTCATCCTTACCGTCACTCAAAAAAACAAAAAATCCGAGTGATAACCCGAGCATGCCAGTGCACCCACTCCTCGGCCCAAGGGGTGAGAAACCAGTGACCAGTAACCAGTGACCAAAAAAAACCGACGATCTAGCAACTAGCGAATGTACCTACCTGATTTCTCTTTCCCCACAACCAGTTTGCACTTCGATCCGCGCGTGCGAGATTCTGGGGAAACCACCCCCGTCTGTCCAGTTCCCCGTCTGTCCTGGTTTCCCCGGTGTCTGTCCGCTTTTTCCCCATGTTTTGAAGTCTTA